TTATACTTGTACTAAAAAAGTATCACCACTATACGTTTTTGAAGATAAACGATGTTATAAAAGAATTCCTATCTTTTATAAGAATAAAGTACATTTCGTGGATACACTTTCACGAAGAACATATTTCTGGGATACCGCAGTCCCATGTGGATCAGAAAATAGCCACAATGTAGTACAACTAAACCCTGATGAAAACAAATATTATCTTCTCACTCCATATCCCAAATTAATGCAATCACTCAAAAAATTTTCACCAGAAAGCATTCGCGCTATTGCTCGAAACCCAAATATAGACTTACAATCAATAGGAATCTATTCAAAATCAGATATTCAACATCACATTAGAACACAACAATTCCAAGAATTATTAACACAAATGGACACTATACAAAGACAATCAATAGACCAAAACTTACGCAAACTTGCAGAAACCGCAGGATTTGCCGATATCTACACGCAAGACTATAGCGGATATTTTAAAGACATAAAAGATTATATATATCTAAACGGCGAAAAATACCGTCCCCAAGATATATCACCAATTAACATTTTTAGCTTTGTTACACTCAAAAATGAGATCCTAGATTTTCTAGGATGGCCCTACTACATCTTAGAAAAATTGACTATTTTATACGCAATGTTTAACTTTATTGGATTTCTTTTCTCACTCTTAAAAGGAATCTACAATACATGTGCTATACACACACAAGTAAACAGACAAGCAAGCGTAGCACGCATACTCTTTGCAGGATTTTTTGGAATTTTTTCCACATCTATAAACAAAATTCTTTTAGACGCACAAATAAAAGAATATAACACAAAAATAACAACACGACAAAATACATACGACGAAGAACATAACAATGTCGACACACAGCCAACGGCACCACAATTACCACCCCTACCAAATAACCATCCACTATCCCTAGCCCCGCGAAATTTTAGAAATTTAGCAATCACACATAATCCAAATTTTCGACTCACCACATCACAAAGTCCCGTCCAACATATAATGACACATCCATCACAAGATGATAATACTTATGAACAAATTATTGAACAGCCCCATACCACCGCTTTTCAATCTCAAAATAATAATTTTTTTAGCCCACGATGAGCCGCCAACTTGGATCACTCCATCGATCAAATTCCCATCCAACCAACCTTACCTCTTCAATCCCAATAATACCACTTTTTGCTTTTCCGCCACCCGATTTTCCATCTAGCAATGTAACATCAGGCATGAATTCCGACACTAACTCACAAATTTCAGTTTTATACTCCATTTCACAGCTAAATAACCCGAATATTGAAACCCCCGACGAATTTGCCGACTCAGAACCATCTCCATCCAATAATTTTCATAACCCTTCTCATTTTTCTCAACCTCCTTTTCAATCCATATTATCAAATAACCCTGACCCAATCACTCCTACACCCTCTTATGCTTCCCAAGTTACCCCAACCTACTCCTCATACCATTCTGACCAATCATCTCCAGACACCCCCCGAATCTCCCCAGAGCTAGACAATTTTATTACCCTCCAACAACAACCCTACCACCTTAACACCCCGACCATAAACCAAATCTCCTCCACTACAAATTCATCCAATCCCCCTACACCCTCTTCAAATTATACCGAATCATTAGCACCATCATCCACATCAACTGAATCCTCACTCAACACTAATAGAGCTTATCGCACTTTTAAAAGAAAGTTCCCCAACCATCCTTTCCCAGCAAAACCAGGAACAGCCCGAGAATACATCAACCACCCCCAACATACTAACACTAGAGAATTTTTAGCCATCACTTTACCCTCATTTCCACAATACACCTTAAACACCCCTCATGACGCTAACGAAACACGCAACTTTGTAGACGAATACGTTTTAATGCCCACTCTCTCTTGGACCTCATACTATCATTTCACTAACCCTCTTTGCTTACCTTTAACTAACACATCCATTGATATAGACCGAAACAAAGACATGCTATATCGACTAACTACACCACTCACCGCTAGACAATTTACTTACGTTGGATATAAAAAATCACTAAAAATACACACTGCACCTAGAGCTAACGAATACACACTAGAATACTATGATCACAACATCATCAGAGCTAACCAAGATCAATTCTTAGACGACGATCGCTTCGCTAACCCACAAATCACCGAGAAATTTTTCATCAAGACACCATATGTATTTACACTAAACATCTTCGACCGAAAGTTTGATCACATTATTTCAGAAGCACTAACAAGCACACAAGCGTACGAAAGTTTTAAAGAACGCTTCCAAATCTTTTCACTAACCTTTCATTTCCTTGCACCACACGAAAGAGATTTACACTGCTCACACGATATTATGTTGCGAACTAAACAAACACATACATACAGTTACTATCGTTTCATCCAAAATCACTTTGACCTCCACACACCCTCTAGACAACCACACCATCGCTTTCAATTCATCAATTCAAAATACACTTCACCGTATTTCCTAAATTTCACATATTGTATTAAAAATACTAACCTTCATGGTATTCTTCGTAATTATGACCCCATAACCCAAATGTATATTTTCTGCCCCATCACCAAGACCTTCAACGCAGAAGAATCCCGACCCTTCCTTATCCCGCACGAGTTTGTACAGCCTATAGAAATCCCCATTTTAGAATTCATCCACAACACTAAATTTAACCACAAGTTATATAACTTAATCCAAAACACACCTTATGAGTTTGCAGTAGGCACTGAAGAACTAACCACTATTAAGGCACTTCAATTGCTTTGGCCACTACTTCAAACTAAAAATATCATCCGCATCTTAGCTAAACTACTAACAACTTCAGAACTAATTCACGATATCTTCCCCCACGGTTTTTTCCCCGACGACTAACAGGTAAGTATGAACTAAATGAATATTACTAACTAATTAAAATATTGAAAAACTCACCATTCCTTATTCATGTTTTCTTTAGATTTTTAGCCTTCATCTTCAATCATCTGAAAAATTCACAAAAGAAAAATAAAAAATAGCAAACTTCTTCAAAACTATTTAAAACCCTATTTAACTTTTGCACCAACAATTAAATAAATATAATACCAATGCAGTAAATTAATTTATAAAATTTTCCCCTAAAAGCAGTAAATCTACATATGATGAAAATTTGTATCTTAAAATTCCCCCATTACTAGCAGTAAATTTCCAAATTCTATGCAGTAAATTAATAAAATGCAATTGCAGTACTAACCTTTTGATATTTTCATTCATTCGCACAGAAATTCTATCCACACTCGCACAGCTCGCCCACGAAGAATTGTTTAAAATAATGAATTTCAGTTTCAAGTTTTCACACTCAACAACTCTAACAAATAATAACAAGTTTCAAACTTTCCTTTAACCCGGTTGGAAAGGAATCATATACTAAACAAAACTAACCAACGCAGCTTACTAAATACCACAAATCATAAAATAACAGCATGACTAAGAAAAGGAAACCAACGGTACCCAAACCGGATTAACCCAGTTTAAAACTGGATAATTTATTCTTTTGAAGACTATTACAAAGTCTTAGAAAGAAATAATAAAACACAAAAAAGTCAAAAGACAAACCCATACCACAAACAATTTGCTTTTTGGAAAAAGTACATAACCAACAAAACATAAGTAAAACCACAACAAACCCAACATAAAATGTTGTCACATAACAGGACCCCTCATAAAAACCGCATGAAATCATACTCCCACACCTGGCCTAACCCACCAGGAAAGGACGTCCTGAGCATGCTCTATAGCCGGCCTAACCCACCGTGCTACATCCACGCTTTGTGACCACACCTTTATTTTTAATAAGAGCTACTCAAGGGTGAGTAACTCTTCAAAATAACCGAACTAAAACAAAAAGCTTTTGTGAAAACAACTAACTAAAATCATAATTAAAAAATATTAAATTAATAAAAGTTTTATAAAATGTAAAATCACATGATGCAATATATAGATCAGAATACAACACCAAGGACGAACATCAAAAGACAAGACGACCTCACTACACTCGAGAGAGAATGACCAACTATAATCGATATGCCGCTCACAATCACAACTCAAAGGATTTAGAGTACGACTTGACCTCGCAGAAAAGGACTTCATTGAACTAGACCAATGACCATCTCGATGTTCAAGTATACGTACAGATCCGAGTAACCAGGCATCCCTTCCACGCACAATCTCCACGCCATTCCCGAGCTAGATCAAACACAAAAGAAGTTCTCTCCGAAGAACAGAAAAACCTGACATAGCCAACCATTCTGAAACCAGAATTGATGCTGTTGCAGAGACTCAGTCGTTGTCACAAGAAGAACACAACGTCTTGTGTCCTCAATTCCAGATCCCTGGAACTTCCTTAACAAAAAGGAAACAAAAGAAAAATGATGTTCGCCAAATACCAACGTCCATCATCCATCCTTGAACTACAAAAGAACTGTTCTAAAAAACTCTGTAAAACCCGGATGGGTGGAACCTGATCTAAACTATATTTTATGATTGGATAAATTAAATGTTTTACCAATGTAAAGTATTTAATATTAACCAATCATGATCCATCTAACTAACAACCCACTTATTTGTAAGTGCTGAAGTTACTTGTAATTTCAGCACCAGAGAGATTTGAATTTAACTTAGAAATTAGTTGGACTCTCCCGAGCACTTCAGCAGCCGCAATAAACCAGTATACCCTAGATCTATTGAGCCTAGCAGAGACTAGTTAAACAACCTGAGACTAGATAGTATAAGAGTAAGATTAGGATCGGTATTAGACTAAGAAGTTGCACGAATCTATCCGGCCGAAAATAAGATAGCGTGACGAGCAGACGGTGTACCCTATCCGAAATTACTCTATGAGTTACACTCCAGTCCTAACTCAGAGGGGTGCTATGTTGCCAGCGTTCTAAAATAGCCACTTATTTTAAGGGATGAATATCAATAAAACTGACCTGGCGACTTGACGACTAAGAGGAAGAGAAACCAGTCCAGGACGAAAGCGGCCAGGTGGAGAACCACCGCCAGAAACACGATCAGACTGCCCGGGTCCATCGACAGAGCTGTAGCCAGAGAGAACGAGGGGGAGGGGGGTGTTGAGAATTGGACTCAATAATAATAAATTCGTTTCCAAGTTTTTTGTACAGTTAGTACACTTGGGAGAAAAGAAAGTGAGCTGCCAAGGACGCCATATAACTACACAGAACAAACTAAATGTTCACTTTATTAGTAGAAATAATTTAAGCAATAATTGAAATTTTTTTAGACCGTAAAAAGCCAAGCTACCGAGAGAATTTTTTTGGACGAAATTGTAAAAAAAATTTACGATGTCGAGACATTTTGTTGCTCTCGAGAGTTTTGAGGAAACAAAGAAATGAAGCTACAACTCTGCTTCTAAATTTAACGATAAATAAAACAAATCAATGACAAACTCAATTCGAAAAACAATATATTTTGTGAAAGTCAAAATAATTAATTTATCTTAGCAATTTTTGAGCTAAAAGTAGGTCAATTAGTTAAATTTATGGTTCTCAGCTGGGTACGATCTATTTTTTCGATTTTTAATAAATTGTTATACCTTAAAAATTAACAAAAGCTGTGATAATTGAGCCAAATTTATTTGGCAATAAAATTAACTCGTGAACCTATTTTGGCTATTTTGAAAGATAGTTAAATGCAACACCTTGGACAAAGAAATCGCATAGATTTGTGCTCAAATTTGACGAGATAATTACAAAGACGCCGATTTAAAAGATTTGAGCGGACAATTCAAAAGAGACCACTTATCAATAGCGTCTTGTGTCCTTTGTAAAAAGAGAGATGAGTCGGGAGGGGGGGGGGGGGTTGGTTTATTATCTAATCGAGAGATTTCTGTCAAAAAAGACCAGCACAACTTGCCCAAAATTGATGCTCAATTCTCGATTATTTTACGCAACTTTTAAATTTACAAGCAACAAAAAGGAAAAAGTGGGGCTTATATTTGACACGGGAAAAGTGCATTGGTAAAAATGGCGCCAACCAAAAACAAGGCTCAGAATAATAAAACGGGGAATTAGGAATAAATATATTGGCGCCTGGCTTTAAAAGAGCAACATGCCATCAGCAATGTATTAGGACTATACTTACACACACACGCCAACACTCAGGTATTTTTCCATGTGTTACTTTTCAGATAAGCTACATAACTAGCACGCTAGATTTTTAGTAAGAAGCGTAATAACCGTTGGCCACTTAAGCCCGATAGACCAATATAATATAACGACAGTATTCCATACTTTACCCTCGGGCAATAAACTATAGCGCCCATAATTCGGGCTGCATTTTGAGGCTAAATCTCATGGTGCCAAAATAGATGGGTGCAAAAGTATTATCCGGGTAAAATAAAAACCAGTGCGGGCAAAACAGGGAAAATATCCGGGTTATATGTGCTGGATTTTTGGGAGATATGCCAAAAGGAGAGGAGAGAATAAAAGGTAGATAGATGGGTAGTTGCGGGAGGTGTTTTGCGGCTGGCACTGTTGGGCAACCCGCGGAGGATTCTACCAAACAAAAGCCAGGCTAATTAGTGCCGAGTGGAAGGCGTGAACAGATAATGAAAAGTGGCAAGTCTCTACCCTTTTTGGGAGGCAAAATAGAAAGTAACGAATATTCATGGGAAAAATTAATTGGACCTCAAAGATGGCTCATATCAGAAAAGCAAAAGAAAATGTTCAGAAAGATCAAAGTTTGCATTCATCAATAAAGAATATTTTTGTATCATCAAAACAAAACAAAAAAATTTCCGGGTTGCTCAAATAACAGCAAATTTTGTTAGCCTACCGTTTGGCATCCTTTTTGGACAAACATGTAAACTCAAAATAACCGCTTGGTTAACCAAACATGCTGTGCTACTAAATAAAACAAGGCTGCTCGTATCAAGGCGAGGCCCTGAATGTTCCGACTGCCTTTTAAAGTCTATGGAGCAGAAATAAAATGAAAAATTAAATGTAGAAAAAATAAATTAGATTTTGCTCCCAGTAACTAACCAATTAAGGCAAATAAGCTTCCGTCAACCAATTTGGAACGATTTCTAAGACGGATTAAATCTCCGCTTACGCGTTACTAGAGCGAAAAATATCGCGCGTTAATTGTCCCAAATTGATCAAAGTGGCAATCTTTAAATCCCCGTGACTTTGCGAAAAAGGAGCACAGGTGAAATATATATTTTTCTAAAATTAAGCTCAGGACAACTGTTTAAAAAACCATCAAAAGTTGTTTGTTGAAAAGTCGAAGTTTGTCTGAAGAAAAAACCCACCCCGAGCACAAACATTCCGTTACTTTCGTTACGAAAGTCGGAACAATTATCATAATCAGTCCAAAATCAACAATTACACCTGCAGACACACGCACACACAACACACACCCACAACCCACATACACATACAACTACACATGCCTATATACATATAAATACACAGACACATACGCATACTTAAGCACACACACACACACGCACACACTCACATACACACTCACACACACGCACGCACACACACATACACCACACACCTACACACACACATCGTCAAGTTTTTTGTTCCAACTTTTGAGTAAAGTGACGGAATTTTTTTGCTTGCTCAGTTTCTTGTTCTTTCAGACATTCTTAGTTTTTCTTAACAACAGATATTGATGGAAAAAAGGAGTGGCTACAATGGTCGACAAAATAATCTACAAAGCCTACTTTTGAAAAGGCAGCTGATTGGTATTAATTAATTTGATTTTCGAAGAAAGCAAGTAATATTTGGGTTCGGTGTGGTTTTTTTTCTTCAAATAATTTTCTAATTTTACTAACCACTTTTGAAAAAAATTCCTTTTACATAATTTGCAGGCTTTTGACGCCCTGGGGACAAATTTTAAAAAATCACCCTGTCACCAAACTTTTTAATTAAATGGCGGGTTGGAAATTTCCAATTTGTCTAAATTAGGACTTACCGCGCGGCATAGTTCGTTCTATCAACGCGTTCCTGCTTATTCCTTCTCAGAAATCGTTTCAAACTGATTTGAAGCAGGCTGTTTGAAACTATTAATACGTAGCTAGACTCTTCAGACGCTGGTGACATCTTTTTGTTCTTTTAAAGCGTGTAGGGGGATTTCTTTCAAAAAATTTATCTCAAACAAATTCCAATTTTTCTTTAAATTTATTCAATTTTATGAATTCTTTCAAAGTTGACATTGTCCTTGGACCTTAAATGACAATCGCAACATCCATGTGCAAAAAAAACCGGCAAATTGTTATGATTCAGTAATGAAGCAAGATGAAAATGTGTTCGTAAAACGTTTGAGGGAAAAAATTAAACTTCCCGAGTACAAGACACTTGCCTTCGAAAACAACACCACAATCAGTACCACTCATCAAAATTGGCGTAAGAGGAATATATAAATCTCTTTGCATGAAAAAATCAATTCATAACAAAAACTGATTAAAATTCCTCTACAACAATGGAAAAAATTAACATGAACAAGTAGGAAAATCTGTAAAATTTGAAAATAAAAACAAAAATCATTCAGGTGCGGATCTAGGATTTTCTCTGTGAAATTGTATCAATTGGAAGAAGACAGCAGAAACATTGAACCTTTAAGCCAGCACAACCGAACTCGGCTTGTCGTGACTTTTGTTGTTAGATAAATACACGCAGGACAACCCCGCACACCCGGACAATCCCGGCATTAAAACCACGTATGTTTAATAACAGTCCATATAGTTCCATTCAGGGGCAGATGTAAAATTTTTGCAAAAATGGTGTGCGGATTTTCAAAAAAAAGAATCAAAGATTTTGTCGACTATTTTTTAGGTCGACCAAGTTGATTTTCCGAGCTCTCACAAATCACTATAACGACCCTATTTTGACCAAATTTTCTGAGCCGCAGGCGAAATTTTGAAAAAACAGGCCCCTCCCCAAAAAAATAAATTGGCATAAATTGGCCATTGGAAAAAATTAGGGTCCGTGAGACAAAAATGGATCTCTTAAAATAAAACAAGGGGGGGACCCTTTGGGTCGACACGAAGTCAAAACTCTGAGAGGGGAGGCGTCCCACCCCGTATAACTGCTGGTGATATTATTATATTTAATGTTTTGAGTATCCAGCTAAAGTACTTAAAAAAGTCAATAGGAGTTCAGTGGAAAATATATAATTAACATAATTAAAGATTTTACTTTCGAGATAATTGTTTGTTTAGTTACTCAAGGTTGTTATCAAAACTTAAATGAAAAATCAATATATTAATAAAACTTTGACAACAACCTTGAGTAACTAAATGAACAATTATTTTGAAACTAAAATGTTTAAATATGTTAATTATATATTTTACACTGAACTCCTATAGAGTTATTTTTAGTAATATAGCTTGATACTCGAAGTATTCTGAGTGTAATCATTTAGCTTGAATAAAAAAATAATTCAAAATAGGTTTGCAGCTTAAAAAATTAATGAAAAGAAAAATCAGAGGCATCACTCGACAGGCTCAACTGCTTTTAAGATATTCTCTCGATGCATTTATATCAGTTAATGCTTGCTAAAGATTTTCAAGTTACACAAAACGAATTAAGTTTCAGATTTTTAATAAATATAAGGATTGTTTTTTTTTCAATGTTTTGAAACAGACATCGAGCCGAACTAATTCGGTCTTTAAAGTTGCACGTTTTCAATTGGGACACTCTGTGGAAACTAAAATCAGAAACACTCAGAGGCAGATTCCGGATTGGGTAAGCCCCTCACTACGCCCCTCCTCAGAGATTCGACCCCCTCACCACCCAAAGAGTCTACCTAAAAAATTCGAACAACTTTTTGAACATGAGATATCTCATGAGCTGATTTGATAATAATTGTTTATCTCTGGCATAAATAATTAAATGATATTTAAAAAAAAACAGGTAAAAATGTCGAAAACAAACTATTTCTCCCAAACATTTATGCGTTTGTCTCAACCAAAATTCAATTTGAAGAAAAAGCAAACCTTGAAATATAATTGATAGCCTAAAACCAGTATTTGGACGAAAACTGCATAGCGGTAACAAAGTCGACAAAAGTTTTTGGGTTACACAAAACCCTCCCCGATGAATCCCATTTTGTAAGCAACGTCGTCGCATCGACGCAGTTACATTTAAAATCACAAAAGGAAGAGCATGTCCGCACAACACCTTACGGAGCGGTGAGATTATCAAAATTTTGAAAAATTTTAACCTAAAAAATTCTGGTCCATTAAAAAAATAATGTATCCATGGAACTTTTTTCTTTCGACAAATCGTTATATGAGGAACCGTTCAATTCTTCTGACAATCAACAACTTTTAAAGTATTGAATACATGAATCTTAATAAAATGGTCCTTGTTATCCTGCAAATAACGACAAAAGTACAATTATCTTTACCCTTCATGTTCGCAATAATTTTTTTAAGACCAGTAAGCAAACTCTTAGAAAACACTCAATAAACTGTTTGATGCTTGAATTTAAAAACAAGTCGGCAGCAAAACCAGGATAATTGAAACGCAAAACAGAAAAAAAAGAAAAGCTTGTGGAAGAGTTTTTATTTTTGCCAACAGACAGCCTATAAACTGCGGTCACAAAGGTTTATTGTGCTTTTTCTTAAATGAAATTTTTCCTTTAAAAAGTTAACAAAATCGAAGCTGCAATTTTATAATACAAGTAACGCTGGAAATTCACTTTTTTCTTAATAAGTTTCGATTTCAATTTTAGGAAAAAATTTACCTTATCGAGGAAAAAACCAATCTGCGAAAAAAAGACCGACAAAAACAAAGTAGACAAAAAAAACCGAGAAAAAAAGTCCACTTAAATTAAAAGAGCACTGCTATATTAAGATGTCTAATATTCTGGTTTGGTTATGCTAGCGTAATTAATTTTAACCTAAGCCTGAACAATTATAGACTTTACACAGAGGCAAATCTGCACTTTGTAAACACACTCGAGAAACTGATAAAAAGCAGCTCTAAAAATTGAATTAAGAAAAAAGCCTTAAATGATAAAACTTCTGCTATGTTTCGGATTCCAACCACTGACCTTTGGATTAGGAGTCTCACGTTCTCGCATCTCCACCCCGGTTCCTTAAAAATGTGCTAGTGGTAGCTACCAATAAAGCAGCTCTGTATGCTATTTTGACTGGACTATGCAGCCAAGCCTTGAATAATAAAAGTTTCGGATTCAAATGTCCGACCTCGGCAGTAAGAGTCCTTGCATCTGCGCCTAGTTCACTCAATGGTCTGCAAACTTCCAAATAATATTTTTCAGTAAGGCAGCTGTAGATGCTTAGTGAATAGCAATAAGGAGTTGCTGAAATACTGAGAACTGCAAACACAAACGACAGAAAACAGCTCAAAAGACTGAAATAAGCCTTGAACAATAAGAAAAAACCAAGCCAACAAAAGCAAGAAATGAGCGTTAATGTTAAATTGATACTGCAATAAAGCCTTGAATAAAAAAACTTTTGCTAAGTTACGAATACGAACCAGAGACCTCAGGCTTAAGAGTTTCATCGACTCGCATCTGCGCCACGAAACTGCGCCACAAAACTTCGAAACGCAACAGATCGTGATTATAGCAAAATTGCCACCAAATGAGCTCTTTTATTTGTGCCTTTGATTGGATACCATTACACTTCGCTCGCTTGTAACATGAAAAAATAATTTAATTTCTAATTTTTTTTTAACTAAAAATAAAACTGTTACTGTCTATCCCATTGATATAAGAATGAAAGTTCTCTTTCATTCTTCTAATTTTTTAAAAGCTATTGTAGTCTTGTGCCCTGGCGAAAAAAAGACTTGTTTATCAAAAAGTATTATTTCTGATAATAATATAATTTTAACCGTTAATTTGGTTGACTAGTGGCGAAAATAAAAAAAAAAAAATGAAAAGAAAAAAAAATTTTAGGTTTCTTCATCTTAAAAAAATTTCGGTAGTTTCAAATTATTTGTGTGATAAACTGAAATGATTTTCGGCTACCAACTGAAAGCATGTGACTAAAATTAAATCATAGCCAACACGTAGTCTGAAAAGAATCAATGAACGCAAGTAATAGGATCAAAACTTGTTTATTGTTTTATGGAAAAATCTCAACTTTCGAATTTTAATGAAAGAAACATAGCCAATCGAAGATTGGAGATAAGTAATGAACGCAACTAAAAACATAAAAAACACTTGGTTGAAAAAATCTCAACTTTGGATTTTCAAAGAAAAAAAATAGATGCCCTTTAAATTCTTTAAACAATTTATGACTGGCGCTTTTTTGATACCATTAACCCAACTTGAGAAAACTAGAAATCGCTGACGTTTTTTCGCGCCATTTCCACGTTCATATTTAAAGAGTGCTATTTACGTGACTTTCAGCAGATGAATAACACTTGAACTCAAAAAATGCATATAAAACTAAGTGTATTAATAAATGCATCAACATGTCTGAATGCACATCTCGGTTATTAGAAACTTTTGTGCACATTTTAAGACTTTTTCCTGAACAAAAAACAAACAAAAATCACCAAGATCTACATAAGAGTCTTCACCGCGTTGATTAGGCTTTGAAGCTCTAGAACAAAAATTATGATTGACATTTGTGAATAAAATAACATTTTTACTAGGCTTTCATTAGGTAAACTATTTATAAAACTTGGAAGTCTGTAAATCAACTTCCACTTTCGAAACTAAGAGTTGGTCTCGTTTTTTGTGGCCTTTACACTTTTACTGTTCTAGAGGATAGTTTGCCTTTCTTTTAAAAGAAATGAACTGAATTCAAGAGAAATCAAAAGTCAAACCGCAAAAGAAATTTCAGCCTGAACAAATTTTCGACTTTTCCTGAAAAAAACATCACGACCTATATAGGAGTTTTCACTTCGTTCATCGACATTTAATAATTTTTTCATCAATATCCAAAACATTTTATTTGGGTTTAGTCATTACTAGCTTAATTCAAACTTTCTCATCATTCAGGTAAAAAATTGCCGATAGCAACCCAAAGACAAGAAAAGGATCGTTGCTATTCAAAATATGACTTACTCGAATCTGTTATCTTGATGAAACATATTTATCGAATAAACTCGCAATGAAAAATCTAGTTGTTTTTTTTTATAACACTCTAAAGTTCAGTAAAAAACTTGATAATTAAACATAAATTCTTCATTGACTTTTTACACTTTACAAAAATTTCAATCAAATTAACGCAAAACTAAATGATTCTCATATTGTGAATGTTCGTAATAATTTCCGAATAGAGTACAAAATCTAAGCCGTTTCTGGGTTCGGGCCAGCGCCCCCGAATATTATCGCAGCACTATTAATGTAATGAGTTAGGAAGGTAATAAGTAGTATAAAAACAGTCATGAATGCCAACACATACAAAAGATTATCCGTTAGGTAATATCTGTAAACTTTCATCGCCAAGTCGAAATTCGCTCCGAATGCACTTCTCGGGTTGTCGCGAACTATTTGAGACTCGGTGAAGGCTTTCGTCTTAACCGGTCCGAATGACGCGACGAGTGTTCGCGACTTTTCCACTGTCGGTCCATTGGAAATATGTCGTCTCGATCGTTTGTGGCGCTGGTTCGAAGTCGACGAGTCGCACAGTTCAGTCGTGTTGGTGCAATCTGGCTCTCCGTTCTGGCACAGGTAGGCAGAGCAGTGGATGTAGACAGTGGTCTCGTAGTTGGGGTTGTTGACGTTGTCTACATCTACGAATCGGAATGAGAGGAACTGGAAGAACACTTCTTTATCTGTCGCTCGTGTCACTTCAAACGTCTCATCAATGGGACAGAAATTCTGAACAGAAATTAAAAACATTGATGAAAGAAAAGGGAAAAGTGAAATGAAAGAGAATGGAAAAGTGGGGTGATAGCACAATACTGATTTATAACAATTATCAATTTCAAGGCATTAAATCTGAGGAAACATTTTCAACTTCAAAATGTCTATGACTGAAACAATTGAGACCATTTTTTTGAACTTTTGATGGTGTAATTCAAAAACAGAAGCATTTTTGATAAAAACTTTCACATCGGGATCAATAAATGTTTTTCACGTCACTTCACCATTTAGCCATTTCTTTCGATATACATATCAAAACAAAGATAGCCAGTTGCTGTGCAAGAAGAACAGAACGTTCTGACCATATTCATAAAAAGAAAAACTTTTTTTTTACTTCTCAAATGTTTGTACTTCTTTTCAAATTAGCGTCCCTTTAGTGGGTGGTTTGATTCGAATTTATAGGATCGCGTAGAAAATTTGTAAATTAGGCATAATCGACAACATTTGTCGTCAATAAATGAGTTAAAAAAATTTGCACAATATTTGAATTATTTTTTAAAATTTTTTTTGCCAAACAAAAGCCAAATGAAACATCCGAAACTAGTTTTCTTTATAGTAAAATCAAGTTTTTATCCCAAAACCTAACAAAAACAGTGAAATTCTTTTAAACGAGCGTTACTCGATCGTTACTCGCTCGAAATTAGACTAAACCTAAAAAAATATTTCAAACCAGTTTATCTCAAAACTGGAACAACTTTTTGAACAACTTTTAATGTCGTCCGAATCGCAACTGAAAAAATTTTCATATGGTGTATCACTCGACCGATTCCGACAATTATTTATGGTACCTGATTTCGCGTGGAAAACAAAAAGAAAGAAAAAGAAGGATAGCCGGTTACTGAGCAAAAAGCACAGAATGTTCCGACCATAGTCTTGAAAAATTAGTGTCGTTTTTTTCTGTGTGGTGTAATATAAAAATCTGAACAAAAAAAATTGAAAATAGACGTATTCGACAATCATTGTCAAAAATAGGCTAAGTTGAAAATAGTTTTTGTAGAAAAAGGACTAGAAAACGAAAAAAAATGTAGAAAAATAAAAAAAAATTCTAGTTTTTTGCAGAAACTTCTAAAGATTTTGAAGTTTTGATTCCCAAAACGGCGCTAAAAGCTCCGAATACTAAGCAAAATTAAATTTTCACGGCTTAAATTAAGCTTGAATAAGCTATTGTAAGCCTGCGCGCTCACCTTATTAGCTCAAAACAAGACCAAAAATTTGGTTTTCGTCCACACTGAGAAATCTTTTGAAAAATTTCTCAAAGTCGTTCCAATTAAGACTGAAAAAGCTTGAATACGATACACCATTTGACCCGTTCTGGTGTTTTTTTGGTACCTGATTTTGTTTGATAAAAAAATGAGAAAAACCGAAAACAAAATTCCTACGTTTGTTTCAGCAGCCTGCGTTCGTTTCAGCAGATATATGCCCTGAAGATTTTGCTCGAAACGAGTTTTGTCAAAAAAAAATATTTTTTTTATTGTTTATAATTATTGTAATTAACAATTATCGCAACACACCAGAAACACCATGTTTTACTTAAGAGAGTGGTTTCTGAACAGAAAACTCCTTTTATAAACGTATTTGCTTTCACCAAAACAAACATTTAATTCTCGTTGCTGTAACAAATAAACATGATTCATCAGCCTTTATTAAAGCTGCTATTTTCTAGTATTGGGTTCGGCGGGCAAAAAGCATTATGAATGCACGCCACGCCATTAATGATTTTTAGGCTCAGCCGAAATGTTCTAAGAGAACTGTTCTGTGGCAGAAATTGCCCATTTTCTTTGTTTTTACATAATGCGTTCTTGTTCAGCCGCGCAGTTTTTGTATGTTTATATTTTAGATTAATTTTCGAGTTACAGAAAACTCCAGAAGACTTCTGTTTTGCTCAACGTAGATATCTTAAGTACAAGTTTTCATTTTGCCAAAGACCAAAATTTAGTCAAAAATAAAAATCTTTACCGATTTTCTGCGCCAACAACAAAACTTTTAGCGGAACAAACGATTATCAGGCTTTTTACACTATCGTTCCTTGATACACAGAAAGTTGAAAAAAAATTTATGAGTCTTTCCTAGATAATTCTTAATTATTATATTGGCTAAAATGTATACAAAGTTCAAAATTATCATATCGCGATTTAATTTTAGCCAGTTAGAGTTTTTTTATTCGGCACACGTTTTGAGTTTTTTGTTGGCGGAAGAATAACCAAAAATACACGATTTGAAATTTTTCTCTCAGATTTGGGGAACGAAGCTTTGACCTGGAATGGTCTGATCGACAACCTCGCCAATTGTGATTGGACAGCTAAAATTAGAACAAAACCAATAGGCAGTTGGAAAAAGTCAATGAGTGCAGTAAACAGAAAAAAAATGCTGGCCTGTTTTTTGAGAAAAAAAAATGTTGACTATCGAAATTCAAAAAAAAACAAGCAGATGCCCTCAAAGCTCTTTGAATTTCCAAAAACAATTTATGATTGGCTCTTTGTTGATAAAATTGACCCAAATTCAGAAAACTGGATCAATCAATTAAATTTTTATGTTGCTGGGAAATCTGAAAATTAAATTCCATTTGCAAAAACAGAAGTTGATCGCGTTTTTGGTGACATTTACACTTTTACTGTTCGCTTGTGGAAATTGCCCTTCTATTCAACTGAAAAAGAAATCAGAAGTCAAACCGTAAAAAAGTAAGGCCCTTTTTCCTTTTTTCCCCCACCTCACTCAAACATGAACTTTATGGTCTAACGAGTGGTTTTACAAGTGGGGGGGGGGGGGGATGAGGAAAAAGAGCCAAAAGTAAATTTGAGCCTTAAAAAATTTTAGACTTTTCCTGAAAAAAAATCATAACACCCCATAGAAAAGTCTGAACTACGTTTATCGACTCTTAATTCCACGCGGAAAAAAACTTAGTGAATTTTAATAGAAAGAAAAATTGATCTATACGAATGATTTTTTATCGAATTAATTGGGTCCTCGGACACCTCACTCAGCCCTAATGAGAATATACACAACAATTTACAAGAGAACGAGAAAAAATTTATTACAGTAACGTAATATGCACTGTTTTATAAAGCTAAACTGGTCTTTTCATCATTACAACTCTCCTAAAACCCCGAAACGAAAACTTCTAGAAACAAAAATCACCCTTTTAGAGCGTCTTTCGGCCATTTTCGTGCTACGTTCAGCTACAATGCAAAAAAATTAAGAGAACTCGGGCGGATCCAGCGACTTCTTGAGGAGGGAGGTGGGAGGAGAGGCGGAGTTTTACAAAATTTTGGTCAATCGTTGAAAAATGCTATAGTTTGACCATATCGAATTTTCGAACTCACTAGAAAGACCCTGTTTTACCAAAATTTCAGGGCCGAAGCTAAATTTTTGAAAAAAAAACAGGCCGAGAAAAAGCGTTGGAAAATTGACCAAAAAATGGCGGTTTTTCGGCCTTTGGGGAGCGTCCGCCCACCGCCAAATCAGGTACTGAAAAAAAAATGAAAAAATATCGATGGTGTTCTTGGCATTATTGGCATTCCTTCAAGATGCTTTTGTTCTGAATAAATTTAGTTAATCAAAAACAAATAGTTCCCTTTTTGAAAAGAAACTAGTATATACGGATAAGAACTGGCCTGAAGTAGCGTGTATCGCTCTTGGCTGGTGAATGACTCATCATTGGTGGCGAAGCATCCCTCCAGAATGAGGGTCGTGTCCTGGTGGAAAGCGTCAGTGAAGATGGACATATACACTGGGGCGTTAGTCTCCACCTCAACAGTCGAACCCAGAACTGAAATTAAATGAAACTAAAATTTATAGTTAATGCCAAATTGTCGACACTATCAGGGACCTTGATTAATTTAATTGGGCAAATGTTATAACGTTTTTGGTTAATTCGATTTATGTTAGCGGTTTGTTTGTGGGCCAATTAGTGAGAAACTAAAATCCGACGTCAAAATGAGCAGTTTTAGGTTAGTTAGTTTCGCTCAGATTCGTTGAACCAAAAGGCTATTGCCACCAATTTGGTATTGCCTGTATATTTAGTATTAAATCTTTTGGAGAAACCTTGACTTGTACGATGTCTATAACCTTAATAACGGCTGAGACGACTCTTTTTTGGAATCTAAATATCGATATTCTAAATAAAACCACACTCGATATGCTACGTCCGTTCATTCAGGTATCTGATTTTGCTGGACAAAAAATTCATCATTCGATCTCGTTGCCAAAGTTCCTCGTTGCCGAGTTCTTTGCAATAGTTCCTGTCTTTTGAGATTGATCAGTCACAGTATAGATTTAGGAGACAATCAAAGGGTTTATTAGTCCCATGGTATGTGTATTATAAAACTCAGATTCCGCTATCGCTTTCCAATATGAACAGCATTATCAGATGCTACATTATCAACTTATAGTCTACAACAGCTGATAAAAATTATACAACCAATTATACCTGGTAACAAAAGAAATTTTGAGAAACCAAATTAAAATTTTCAAAGTTTTCAACCTGCAAAATTGGGCATAGTAGCAGATGCATTGTAGCTTCTCATTTGAAGAGGGAAAACGTCGACCCTGAATTGGGCATCGAGTTCGTTGGACTGAATTGAGGGGTTGAAGGAGACTACCTCTGCGTTGACAGCCATCAACTCACACAGTAGCACTGCAGTGACCCCGCTTAAGTATTGACCCCCGGTGGTGCTGGCTTTGACCTGAAATCAGAAACAAAACGAACTGAAAAAAGGCACTACAAAACGAAAAAGACCTGAAGTCTTTGTGAGCAATTAAAAAAGCAATAAACCCAGTAGCGCATTTTGGGGGACGCCTCCCGTCCTCAGGAATTCAGGCCCCCGCCGAGCCAAAGGGTCCCCCTTTCTTTTATTTTGAGATATCCATTTTTGGCTGACTGAACTTAAACCTTTTCTAAAGGCGGCTTAGGCGCCGATATATACTATTATTGAGGGGAGCGCACGCCGAAAAAAAACGATTTTACGGTCGAAATTTTCCAAAAAGTGCCTAAAAATGCCTTGGAAACGCATAACCGATGATCTTTCGCCTCCTTATTTTCTCGGAAAAATGGCTCTGCAAATGCTACTGTCTGTTGGCTATGAGCTCAAGAAAATCGGAAAAAGGACTATCTTGTTAATCAAATTTGAACGGAAAAAGATGGCTTTAAAACTCTTCGCATTTCAAGAAGAAAATTTTATGGGCACCTTTGTTCATAAACTGAAACATAGCCAACTAACAGTTGGAAAAGAGTAATGAACGCAAGGACCCTGAAAAAAAACTGACTGGTATTTTTAAGAGCCTTCAGCTTTTGAATTTAAAAAAAAAAATTGCCTTAACGCTCTTTGAATTTGTAGATTAATTTATGCTGGACACTTTTTTGTTAAATTAATCAAATTTGAGAAAACTGGATCAATACTCAAACTGTTATTACGCTGGGAAATCTGATAATTAATTTCCATTTTCGAAATCAGAAGTCACCCTTTTGCTGTTCGATAGTGGAGTTTGCCTTCCTTTTAACAATGTAAATGCACTGAACTTAGAAAAATCACAAGTCAAACCACGAAAAATCAAAATTGAGTGTGAACATTTTAAGACTTTTTTCTGAAGAAAAAAAACAACAAAAACAAAAAAAAATCAGCAGAACATATATAAGAGTATTCACTACGTTCATAACGCTTAATCAAAAATTGGTTTTTTTATTCCGCTGAAAATACTAAAAAAAACTAAATCCACATTCAAAACAACGATAGCCGGTTACTGTGCAAGTAGCACAGAACGTTCCGACCATAGTCTTTAGAAAACTGCGGGTTGGAAAGTTTTTTTTCCAAAACTAGTGGTTTTTTCTGCTTGGTGTGATAAAAAGATCTGACGTAAAAATTTAATTTAGGCATATTAGACAGTCATAGTAATATAAGCAAATTGTTGGACAAAAATGTTTGTAGAAAAATTACTAGAAGAACGAACAAAATAAAAAAAATTTTAAATTGTTTGCAGAAAAATTTTATCCTTCGTTTGAAGTTATTCGTTCCCAAATTGAAGCTAAAATTTCCACAAAGTAGTTTTACTTTCTGTTGTTAGCCTGCTCGCTTGCCTTACTCGCCCGATTTAAGACGAAAAATCAGAAATTTCAAACCGGTTTTTCTCGACAATAGAAAAAAAACTTAGTGAGTTTTTAAAAATGGCTCGAAAAGGGCTTTAGTATAATATATCACTCAACTCAGTCCGATGATTATTTGTGGTTTCTGGTGTTGCGTCAAAAAAACTTAAACACTCCCGAATACAAAGTTCCTCCCCATTTACAATGGTCGGAACAACTAGACGTCGTACACTCATTTTTTCGCGTCAATGCTGCCTTCGTAAATTAAGGCACAATTTGCTTTCCAAAAATTGAATTAAACTTGAAAAGAACTCGAAATTCAATTAGCAAAAAACCAATTTTGGCATAAACCTTTGAAAGAATTCTTCCTGACACTTAAAAATTCACACTTATACATGTTCGATTAAGCAACTTATGGCTGGGTGAAAAAAACTACTAATTTGAGACCGAAAAACCTGCAAACAAAATTTAAAACGGCTCTGAAAAAGTTTAAGAAACAGTAGCAAATATTTTGCAGAGTAGCAGCTGCAATCTGCGCATACCGTCAAATCACAAACAAAGACAAACAAACAAGAGCTTAAAATGTAAGAAAATGCTTAAAGTAAGTCTCAAAAAATGTAATTTTGAGAAAAAATGTAAGTCTCAAATCACAAACAAAGACAAACAAACAAGAGCTTAAAATGTAAGAAAATGCTTAAAGTAAGTCTCAAAAAACTACAGTCTTTTGCAGTTAAAAAATTTAGTGATAGCACATAACAGTCAGCGATGAACATGCTTTACACATCAAGCTTATAAAACTTTACAGAATGAGTATAAAGTAGACTAAATCGCTCCTCCTATGAATTTGAACGAAATACAGATATAACTAAACTGACAAAATATTTAAACACAAGAGAAGATTTCTGCTCTGTTCATCGCTAAAGTCATTAAATTTAGCAAGATTTTCCAGGACTATAAAAAAATCAACTCTCCGATAGAAAACGAACGACTACCTAAAGCACCCGAATACAAAGTTCCTCCCGATTTTCAATGGTCGGAACAATAAGCTTGAGAATTACTGGATTTGTTCACAGAAAATTAAATTTAATTTTCGCACAATTCAACTTTCGGCAAAAAAAAAACAATCTAGTTGAGTGAAAAAACGTCAGTGAGTTAATCTCTAACTAGCGAGTGAGTCAATTGAATTGCTTTACAAGGTCATGCTAATATGAACACATGCTAATAAGCCGGTCCGGGGTTCTTTGAACAGTACCTGCTGGCAGAATTGTACATTGGCAGCTGTCTCCATGAACATGGCCGTTGAACACGTCTGATAGGTGACCTCGCGGTAGTATGTGGTTTCTGAAAAACAGCTTAAAGAAGAGCCTTGGACGATCATTAACTCTTGAATAAGTCTTCAAACTTTTCTGCGAAGCCTCAGTACCAAACGGACCATAATGGCTCACGTCGATTTTCGTGAGACATGCTTTAATGTTTGTGAATGGTATTGTAGTATCAGTCGTAACACAGTGGCGAAGCTGAGCATCGCACCACTTGCAATACCAAAAAAAAAGAAAAAAAAAGAGGAAAATGTTGAAAAAACTAGATCTATCAAAACGAATGAAAAATAAGGCTAGTGTAGAACAAAAACATGCCAAGACAGTAAAATGGGAAATGAGTATCGGAAAATAATGTATCCAGCGATAACAAAACCGAAATTACCTTAGCAGAAACCCTTCATGCCGAAAAAAAAATCAATTAGACTTAACACTTTTTAAAAATTAATAAGTCCCCATCGCCCTCAAAACACAAACATTCAAAAAAAATTTTTTGCTCGTTAAATGAAACAATATGAGACAACAAAGCTGATGTAATATAGGTCAAACCAATCAGGCTAAAAAAGGCAAAAAAAATTGTTGTCATGAAAAACATCAACTATAATTTCCATTTGAGCAGTTTACTCATTTGAAAGAAAATAATGATTCGAGCGGTAACAAAGCTGAAAATACCTCAGCAGAAACCCTTCATGCCGAAAAAAATCAAAACGACAAGACTTTTAAAAAGTTAATAAGTCCCCATCGCCCTCAAAACACAAACACTCAAAAAACTTTTTTTTGCTCGTTAAATGACACAATATGAGACCACTAAACTGATATATTATAAGCCAACACCTATCAAGCTTAAAAAAAGGAAGAAAAAAAGCCTAAAAAATTGTTGTCACGAATAACATCAACTACAGTTTCTATTTAGAATTAAGCATTTTGTGCGATCCACAATTGAGCATCAAAAATATGTTTCCGTAAAAACGACCCGAAATTAGGTTACTAAGCCGACAAGAAATAGGCCGAACTTATTTTGACAGAATAAACTTTTAATGCGAAAAAAAAAGAAAATGTATGAAGTAAAAATTAGTAAAATTACAAACAGCAGAGGTGAATCAAAACACTAAAATCAAAAATAATGTACAAGAACTTTTAAAAACCTACAATATGGCAACAAAGCCGTTTTATCGGCTTTGCCGTCCCATGAGCATTCGTTACCTCTAGACCAATTGTACCGGAGACGCTAAGTTATTTAAAATCAATATGAGCTGAACCTAAATGTACCATTTCTAACTTTGACCATTCTGCGAAATAATTTATTTACGGGAAAAAGTCTAGTAACCGATTTCAATACCCTAGCTTATTGCAAGGATAAACATCATGTTAGGGTGATATATTACAACAGGTGGTAGGTTCAACATCAATAGCTGGATCGCTTTTTGTTATACCTCGCACATAAATTTTATTTTATTTCATACCTCGCACATAAGTTTTTTGGCAGAAGTGTTAAATTTGAATTTTTGATTAGCATCTAATTTGGCAGAGTAATGTATTAACAAAAACTATCTTTGTAGCAGTACGAATGACTAAAAATGAAATGACTATATTGTGCATTATAGTTCTCAAACTTAATACATGTACTACGCTCAAAATTACCACCTATTGTAACATATCACCCATGTTAGCTATACAATAATGTACAATAAACCATAACTTGTCCAAAAAAATACCGAAAAACAGAACACGCTTTCTCCGAAAAAAACTGCCTTTAAAATCACTTGAATATGCTCCAAATAAGTCATTATTGAGCTCAATTCCACTCGAATCAATTCAAAAACTGCTATCAAACCGTTCTCGTTGAAAGTACAAGCTGGGTCTATCACGTGCAGGGTTTCCGTGGGTGCCAGAAGTTGGTCGAACACAGCTTTTTCCAGAGTTATGAGCATACTTGACGTTCCACAGGAGACTCCGATGTTCGGATGTTGAGTACAGTTTGCCCCCGCCCAGTTGTTCACACATTCGCAGAAGTAAGACCCGTTTGATCTGGTGAAGCACATTCCATCGTTCATGCAGGGTTGCTCAGCAGCGCATTCGTCTTTGATAGTGCATCTAGCTCCGAGCCAGGGCGACGGACAACTGCATGTGAACTCCCCAAGTACGCCAGCGAAAGAACATAGACCACCGTTTTCACAACTGTTTTCGTCGCATGGGTCGTCGGGAATTTGGCATCTGTCTCCACTGAACCCTGCCGGGCAACCACTGCAGATTGCATCAAAATTTGGATCTGATCCCGATACTGTGCATGTGCCGCCATTACAAGGATTGGGAACACATGGATCATCTACAGAACATAATTGTCCAATTCTGTCTACTACATTAAGACAGTCGCATGAAAAAGTATATCCCTCAGTATCGTTCCCACTCACTGAGCAACTTCCACCGTTGCATGGGTCTGGAACACAGGAATTGTCGGTCGAACAGTTTTGGCCAATTCCGTCTACTACATTAGCGCAGTCGCATGAAAAAGTATATCCGTCAGCATCATTCCCACTCACTGAGCAACTTCCACCGTTGCATGGATCAGGGTCACATGGGTTATCCTGGCAGACCGCTCCAGTAAAATCGGTGGTCAAACAATCACAAGTGAACAAAAAATTGGGATCAACGCCGCTGATTTGACATGTGCCGCCGCCACCATTATTGCATGGGTTCGGTTTACAGGGGTTGTCTTGTGAACAAGTTAATCCAATTCCGTCTATTACATTAGCGCAGTCGCATGAAAAACTATATCCAACAGTATCGTTCCCACTCACTGAGCAACTTCCACCGTTGCATGGGTCTGGAACACAGGGATTGTCGGTCGAACAGTTTTGGCCAATTCCGTCTACTACATTAGCGCAGTCGCATGAAAAAGTATATCCGTCAGCATCATTCCCACTCACTGAGCAACTTCCACCGTTGCATGGATCAGGGTCACATGGGTTATCCTGGCAGACCGCTCCAGTAAAATCGGTGGTCAAACAATCACAAGTGAACAAAAAATTGGGATCAACGCCGCTGATTTGACATGTGCCGCCGCCACCATTATTGCATGGGTTCGGTTCACAGGGGTTGTCTTGTGAACAAGTTAATCCAATTCCGTCTATTACATTAGCGCAGTCGCATGAAAAACTATATCCAACAGTATCGTTCCCACTCACTGAGCAACTTCCACCGTTGCATGGGTCTGGAACACAGGAATTGTCGGTCGAACAGTTTTGGCCAATTCCGTCTACTACATTAGCGCAGTCGCATGAAAAAGTATATCCGTCAGCATCATTCCCACTCACTGAGCAACTTCCACCGTTGCATGGATCAGGGTCACATGGGTTATCCTGGCAGACCGCTCCAGTAAAATCGGTGGTCAAACAACCACAAGTGAACAAAAAATTGGGATCAACGCCGCTGATTTGACATGTGCCGCCGCCACCATTATTGCATGGGTTCGGTTCACAGGGGTTGTCTTGTGAACAAGTTAATCCAATTCCGTCTATTACATTAGCGCAGTCGCATGAAAAACTATATCCAACAGTATCGTTCCCACTCACTGAGCAACTTCCACCGTTGCATGGGTCTGGAACACAGGAATTGTCGGTCGAACAGTTTTGGCCAATTCCGTCTACTACATTAGCGCAGTCGCATGAAAAAGTATATCCGTCAGCATCATTCCCACTCACTGAGCAACTTCCACCGTTGCATGGATCAGGGTCACATGGGTTATCCTGGCAGACCGCTCCAGTAAAATCGGTGGTCAAACAATCACAAGTGAACAAAAAACTGGGATCAACGCCGCTGATTTGACATGTGCCGCCGCCACCATTATTGCATGGGTTCGGTTCACAGGGGTTGTCTTGTGAACAAGTAAATCCAATTCCGTCTATTACATTAGCGCAGTCGCATGAAAAACTATATCCAACAGTATCGTTCCCACTCCCTGAGCAACTTCCACCGTTGCATGGGTCTGGAACACAGGGATTGTCGGTCGAACAGTTTTGGCCAATTCCGTCTACTACATTAGCGCAGTCGCATGAAAAAGTATATCCGTCAGCATCATTCCCACTCACTGAGCAACTTCCACCGTTGCATGGATCAGGGTCACATGGGTTATCCTGGCAGACCGCTCCAGTAAAATCGGTGGTCAAACAATCACAAGTGAACAAAAAATTGGGATCAACGCCGCTGATTTGACATGTGCCGCCGCCACCATTATTGCATGGGTTCGGTTCACAGGGGTTGTCTTGTGAACAAGTTAATCCAATTCCGTCTATTACATTAGCGCAGTCGCATGAAAAACTATATCCAACAGTATCGTTCCCACTCACTGAGCAACTTCCACCGTTGCATGGGTCTGGAACACAGGAATTGTCGGTCGAACAGTTTTGGCCAATTCCGTCTACTACATTAGCGCAGTCGCATGAAAAAGTATATCCGTCAGCATCATTCCCACTCACTGAGCAACTTCCACCGTTGCATGGATCAGGGTCACATGGGTTATCCTGGCAGACCGCTCCAGTAAAATCGGTGGTCAAACAATCACAAGTGAACAAAAAATTGGGATCAACGCCGCTGATTTGACATGTGCCGCCGCCACCATTATTGCATGGGTTCGGTTCACAGGGGTTGTCTTGTGAACAAGTAAATCCAATTCCGTCTATTACATTAGCGCAGTCGCATGAAAAACTATATCCAACAGTATCGTTCCCACTCACTGAGCAACTTCCACCGTTGCATGGGTCTGGAACACAGGGATTGTCGGTCGAACAGTTTTGGCCAATTCCGTCTACTACATTAGCGCAGTCGCATGAAAAAGTATATCCGTCAGCATCATTCCCACTCACTGAGCAACTTCCACCGTTGCATGGATCAGGGTCACATGGGTTATCCTGGCAGACCGCTCCAGTAAAATCGGTGGTCAAACAATCACAAGTGAACAAAAAATTGGGATCAACGCCGCTGATTTGACATGTGCCGCCGCCACCATTATTGCATGGGTTCGGTTCACAGGGGTTGTCTTGTGAACAAGTTAATCCAATTCCGTCTATTACATTAGCGCAGTCGCATGAAAAACTATATCCAACACTATCGTTCCCACTCACTGAGCAACTTCCACCGTTGCATGGGTCTGGAACACAGGAATTGTCGGTCGAACAGTTTTGGCCAATTCCGTCTACTACATTAGCGCAGTCGCATGAAAAAGTATATCCGTCAGCATCATTCCCACTCACTGAGCAACTTCCACCGTTGCATGGATCAGGGTCACATGGGTTATCCTGGCAGACCGCTCCAGTAAAATCGGTGGTCAAACAATCACAAGTGAACAAAAAATTGGGATCAACGCCGCTGATTTGACATGTGCCGCCGCCACCATTATTGCATGGGTTCGGTTCACAGGGGTTGTCTTGTGAACAAGTAAATCCAATTCCGTCTATTACATTAGCGCAGTCGCATGAAAAACTATATCCAACAGTATCGTTCCCACTCACTGAGCAACTTCCACCGTTGCATGGGTCTGGAACACAGGGATTGTCGGTCGAACAGTTTTGGCCAATTCCGTCTACTACATTAGCGCAGTCGCATGAAAAAGTATATCCGTCAGCATCATTCCCACTCACTGAGCAACTTCCACCGTTGCATGGATCAGGGTCACATGGGTTATCCTGGCAGACCGCTCCAGTAAAATCGGTGGTCAAACAATCACAAGTGAACAAAAAATTGGGATCAACGCCGCTGATTTGACATGTGCCGCCGCCACCATTATTGCATGGGTTCGGTTCACAGGGGTTGTCTTGTGAACAAGTTAATCCAATTCCGTCTATTACATTAGCGCAGTCGCATGAAAAACTATATCCAACAGTATCGTTCCCACTCACTGAGCAACTTCCACCGTTGCATGGGTCTGGAACACAGGGATTGTCGGTCGAACAGTTTTGGCCAATTCCGTCTACTACATTAGCGCAGTCGCATGAAAAAGTATATCCGTCAGCATCATTCCCACTCACTGAGCAACTTCCACCGTTGCATGGATCAGGGTCACATGGGTTATCCTGGCAGACCGCTCCAGTAAAATCGGTGGTCAAACAATCACAAGTGAACAAAAAATTGGGATCAACGCCGCTGATTTGACATGTGCCGCCGCCACCATTATTGCATGGGTTCGGTTCACAGGGGTTGTCTTGTGAACAAGTAAATCCAATTCCGTCTATTACATTAGCGCAGTCGCATGAAAAACTATATCCAACAGTATCGTTCCCACTCACTGAGCAACTTCCACCGTTGCATGGGTCTGGAACACAGGGATTGTCGGTCGAACAGTTTTGGCCAATTCCGTCTACTACATTAGCGCAGTCGCATGAAAAAGTATATCCGTCAGCATCATTCCCACTCACTGAGCAACTTCCACCGTTGCATGGATCAGGGTCACATGGGTTATCCTGGCAGACCGCTCCAGTAAAATCGGTGGTCAAACAATCACAAGTGAACAAAAAATTGGGATCAACGCCGCTGATTTGACATGTGCCGCCGCCACCATTATTGCATGGGTTCGGTTCACAGGGGTTGTCTTGTGAACATGTTTCTCCAATTCTGTCTACTACATTAGCGCAGTCGCATGAAGAAGTATATCCGTCAGCATCATTCCCACTCACTGAGCAACTTCCACCGTTGCATGGGTCTGGAACACAGGGATTGTCGGTCGAACAGTTTTGGCCAATTCCGTCTGCGACAGTGCTGCAAACGCATTGATACGTAAAACCATTTGCGTCATTTCCAGTGACAGAGCACGTACCTCCATTGCATGGATCTGGCAAGCATGGATCGTCGGCAGTACAATTGAATCCCAAAAAGTCTGTTGCCGTTGAGCAGTCGCAAGTGTAACCGAGGGTATTAGTGCCCGTCTCTTGACAAATTCCACCATTTTTGCACGGATTGCTGAAACAAGCGGGTATCGCTTGGATTGCGCAGGTGCTACCGACGTCTCCGCACAACTGGTAGTTGAAAAACTCTCCGGTCGTCGAGTTGAATTCAGTCGGACAGACGAAGTCGGAAGTCCCGTTGAAAATCGTGCTGTTTACAACTGCGCCTTCAATACACCCATTGAATGTTGAATTCTCGAAATTAAATGGGAAAATGCAATCATCTCCAGCTGCATCTGTTATACACGTCAGTTGACATTCGCTGTCAGTCCTAAAATCAAAAGTTTCGCCATCATCCTAAACTGTTCTCCTCTCATATATTCCTAAACTGTTCTCTTACCAAACTTCTTTGGCGAAAAAATCCTTGAATAAACGAGATAAGTGCGCCAAAGTTTTTATTATATCTTCAAAAAAGTACTATTATCAAAATGCAAAGATCTGAAAGTTCAACAACAGTCTAGGTCAAGTAACATACAGAACATTGAGTCTAATTGAAAACAGGTAAAAGGCTTCGTTTTTTCACGCATAAATTTAAGATTTTTTGGGTTCGGATTTCTTTCAAACTGTCGACTCGACGTTCGTAATTTTTTTGATATCGAAATTGACATTTTACTTTTAAGTTCTATAAAAACTGTACATGCATCAGAAAATAACACAAAAGCTACTTACAGATCGCAGACTGCATAATTAGACGCTAAAACAAAAGTGTTTTTTAGTATCATTTACTCAACGCACAAGATTTTGTTTTCAACAACAATTTATAGAATTTTGATGAAAAAAGGTTTAAGTTTCAAGTAGTTCACGTGCTCAAAAATTTGATGAACAAGAAAACGTTGGCCCAAATTAGCTTTTCGCGTCATTGTTTATGTCATTTACCTTTTTGGGGGAATCTGTATGACCAAAGAATGGGATACCAGAAAATTATATAAGCCAATGAGAATTCAGTATTTGAAGGATTCAAGGCTGCTGATTTGTTGTCACGGGAAAAAATCCAAAAAGCTTATCAGATCATTGTTTTTGCATCTGCTCTAAAGGTCGCAGTTAACGTCGCCAAAACCGACGGAGTGATCAACAGATAAATGAGGTCGGGAAGTTGGAATTGGCTGTTGGGAAAATATGCCTTGAACCTAACCCCCATAATCCCGGATTGAACCACAGCCAGAATATTAAGGTTAACACGTCCTCGCCTCTGCCCCATATGCTCTAAGTTAAAACTAGCCAAAAAAGCGGAATAACACATGCTAATAAACTACCAGAGCTCTTGCTAAGTCTTAAAGCGCAAAAATCATCAAAAAGAGTACCTGTTTTGCAAGTTTTCTTGGAAAAATTTAAACTCGTATTGGATCACAATGCCCGCAAGCTCTCCTATGTAACTACAATCAGTATGAAACGCACTTTAATTGAGGCAATATAGCTCACGCTAATCAAAATTGCCAAAATATTAAACTAAACAGTGCATAGAAAGCTAACTCAGAGAGTAAAAAGATTGCTCGTATATCAGGGCAAAGCCTTAAAAGTTTCGACAGTCCCTTAAAGCTTAGAAAAACTTTTTGTTTCACAAAAATCTTACAAAATTTTTTGAAAAAATGAATGATTTTGTATTCATTTTTCCTTTTTATCCCCCCACGCGCTGTATAATACGAAAAAATGTATTTAGTGTCTCGTATCGCATTTAAAAACCAATTTTCTCCAAAATCCAATGAAGAATGATTCAATTTGCTGCTTACGCGTGTTAGAAGAGCGCAACATATCGCGCGTTAATTATTCTAAATCGGCCAAATTAACATTTTCTAAACCTGAATTACTTTTTAAATGCCCGAGCAAAGCGCAAGTTTACCTATGTCAATTAATTTCACATTTCAGAGTTCCGCGGAAAAGCAAACAATTCACAACAAAAAAGGTAATTTTTTTGCATATACATATAAAGGCATAGGTATATTTTTGTTGAATACCCAAAAAATTCAAACAATAGAAAAATGAAACATGTTAACTCAGAAAAATGTAAATTGTTTAAGAAAAAACTCAATTTCGGAAAACACAAAATTAAAAAAGTAAACTGCGAAAGAAAAACTCAATAGTTTCGGGGAAATTTAAGTTGAATACAACACTTTTTTCAATTTTCTTGAACAAATTTAAATTTAATCTTATTCAATTTCAAAAAAAAACTTCATGGCTAAAAATTATTTTTTTTATATTCATTACAATTCTAGTAATACCGATTCTATTAAACTTCATACAAAACATGATTCTACTAACACTTATATCAATTATTGAAAACGAATCTGAAAAATATGCGCCTCTCAACTCTCAATAATATTTTTACTTGCAGGATAATTGAGCCTTTTCGAAGTTTTAAACATGATCAATTACACTATAAATAATAAGTTACCATACATTGTGTAGGTTCGAGTCATGAAAAAGATCCAGAAACAAAAACAAATATGGACACAAAAGGCGGAGCAGATATTATCATCACTTGCGATACAACACAAACATAGCAAGGCAAATCAGCCCACATAAATTGAGCCGAATGCCGCTAAGTCGTAATGTTTTTAAAGTTAAAAATTGCTGGATCCACTTAAAATTTCATTTGCTTGTTTCGAATTGTCATGAATGAAGTTAAGATTGAGAAAAATATGCCAAATTAAACAATTGAACACCCAAATATTGTCTCAACAAAATTTGCGAGGCGGTAGCAAAACCGACAAAACTTGAGGAACACTCGTTGAGCACAGGAAAACGTTTTAATCAAAACTTTTTAATTTAAATCATTGTCGACAGAGAGTTGGAAAAATGTGATTGAATTCTGGATTCCAAAATGAACTTTGCTTTTCGATCCAATTTTCTCAATTTGGAATATTGTTCTAAAGTATCAATCATAAATGATTCTTAAAATTCAAAGAGCTGTAAGACCATACATATATAAATAAAGAACATACATAAATCATTTTCAAACTTTAACTCGCATTACAAAGCATTAAAAAATAGTTTAAATACAAATCTAACGCAATTGCAACGTTAGTTTATCCAACTTTTTCACCGACGAACAATGCGAATTCAAATACAACAAAGAATTAAAATTTACAGCTCTTTGAATTTTAAGAATGATTTATAATGATTACTTAAAAAATAACCCAAATTGAGAAAAATCAATAAAAAAGGTAAAACTCATTTTGGGATCTACAAGGTAATTACAATTTTTGCCCCGGCTTTCTCAGTGCAGGAACACCTGTTGGGAAGGGAGATGTCATCCTTTTCGCCGCAGCCGGTCCTATCTTGAGGAGGCGAATGACACTGGGACCCCTCCAACCGTGACCGAAGCGGGATTCAAACGCATGACCTTCGTGTTGAGAGAGATGTGCCTAACCCACTCGACCACGTTAGTTCGATTAGTCATATTCGACAGCCTTAGTAAAATAAGCAAGTTGAAAAGAATTTTTGTACAAAAATGTCTAGAAAAAAGAAAAAAAAACGTTTCCAATTTTTTTTGCTGTATTTAATTTTTGAAGTTTTTGATTCCAAAAAAGCGTTAAAAACTCAAATAAGCCAACTAAGTTTTACATTTTAAATTAAGCTATTGTTAGGCTGCTGGCTCACTTTAATCGCTCAAATTCAGACGAAAACAAAAAAACTATAATATGTGGTAGCTGATTTTGCGTGAAAAAGAAAAAGACATAACTAAAACACACCCGAACACAAATTTTCTCCCCATTTTTCAAATGGTCAGAACAAAAATTAAACTTGAACTGAACCGGAGTTGGTAAATTCACAACCAACTTACAAAACAGATTTCCAATAGAATGGGTATTTAACATTTAGACTTCCTCAAAATATGCCCGTTGGTTGTCGAAAACTCAGATTTGAGAAAATTATTCAGCGATTTTACATGACAAGCTAGTTACTTATAAAATTATCGATGTTCCGATTTAAACATAATCGCAACCAGATCTAAAAATAGCAGAGAAGGACTGAATCCCCAAACAATCGGAGTATCCAAGAAAGATATCTAGGCACAGTTTTCTTTTAAATTACACATTATGACAGATCAGATAGTTAAATATACACAGAGGCGCAGCTGCACTTCTCTAACACAAACGAGAAAACAAAAAATTAAATCTGAAAAAAGAAAACAAAATACATAAGAAGAAGGTAAGAACAAGCTTTAAAAAATAATTTGATATATAATGAAATCGAACCGCCGACCTGAAGATTGAGAGTCTCATCTACTTGCTATGGCCTTTTGAAAATAGGCAAACAATAGCTCCCCATAAAGCAGTTAGAACAGATGTTATTAATTTGCCAAAGAATACTATGCCACAAAAGTGGCACCAACTGCGCACTTCTACTTGCAAATTGTGTTACAAAAAAGTAATATATGAGTGTTACAAAAAAGTAATAATATATATAAATCTAGAAAAAAAAACAGAAATAAGCCTCGAATTAGCAAAAATTCGGCTAAGTCTAGGATTTGATCTGCGACCTACTGCAATCAAGAAATTTTAAGTCGCACGCACTAACCACTCAGCCACGCACGCTTAACCACAGACAATCACTAGTCACGATTAAAGCAGCTACATATGCTAATAAATTGCCAATGCTTTTCAGCAAAAATGGCACCAAATACAAATAGGCACAATTTTGCAAGTAATAATTTGGAATATAAACAAACTGAAGCAACCACTCTAACTTTGCATGTAACAAATCGCAAAGCAAACAGCCACATTATATATATATTATGCATTTCAAAAAATGCTAGATATATTGAGTTTTTATGATTATTATCTTATTTGTAACTAATAGCTTTTTTCGGCTCAATTGATGAATTAGAAATGCATCAACTGTGTTACCTAATTACTATTCAACTGTCAAAGCACATGCTATCAAAAAGCTGTAAAGGTGCCCCAAAAATGGCACCAATATTTGCGACTTAGGTTGAAAAAAAAAGAAGGTTCTTAATAATACACTAAGCTGACGCAAGTGTAAATACACAATAAAGAGAAAAACCTCCAGGCCGGAAGGACCGATTGCCCAAAATTTATCTGAGTCAATCATAATTCAGTATTAAAAATTCAAAATACAAGAGCAAGCAAATGAGTTAGTTTTCGACAGTTTTGAGGACGTTGATTGGTTCAAAACTTTCTCTTATTCGGTTATTCGGTTATACAGTCATATGCCCCAAAAATTAACACTAGAAAATAACAATGTACCTGTTCCGTCGACGTAACACGACGACACATTTACAGGTTGATCCAATGAATTGAGAATGTTGGGGGTGCACTGTTCTGTGAGGTTTTTAGGTGCACTGTCCTCCACAATTGAGTTGTAGTAGTTGAACTGGCAAATCTCCTCCCCAGCAGTGGTAGAATTAGTGTTGCACAGTCCACAGTATCTTCCTCTGACGGCTCTAGAAACAGACAATAAAACTCAAGTTCATACTAAAACACAGAGGCGACACGAAGATTCGCGCCACTTGCGACACAAAACGAGAAGCCAAAAAAATAAACACAAAACGAGAAGCCCATTAAGCCAAAAAAAAGTAAACAAAAAAATTAATAAATCGATTTTGTAAATTACAATCAATATGAAAAGCAGTTTTCGAATAGGACGGATATTTAAAGTGCTAATATGTTCAAAAAAGTGCACTATTTCCGACAGCAGGGACCAGAAAGAGCACTATATAGTTGGTACAACATCTAATTTTGACCATTCCGAGAACACAGTTATTTACAAAAAAGTCTAGTACCCGATTACATAACCCTTCCTAATCGCAAAGCTAAGTTTTAAAAAACTACCTGCACAGAAATGATTAATATAACATGACCAAGTTCGAAACACTTAAGCCTGAAGAAGCTGGCTTTTCCGACACGTGGCCGGTAAAAAAATCAACTTAACAGGCAACTTTTGTTACAAGCTGGCAGATTACTATTTTGAAATAACTGTTTGTTTCATTTTTTGCTGTGGTTATACTTATTTGTTCGATCGTTTATACCAAGTCAATTGAAAATGTTCTAAGATTTTGAAATATAGTTGAAGCCAGATTATAGTCGATATATGTGATTTCGAACAAAAAAACTACTTATAAGGTTAATTAAAACTAGAGTAACCAACGCAAGACAGCTGCTTCAACAATCACAGATCTTGCAGACATACAACAACATAATGCCTTGTAAAAATGATAGACGATTAAGGTGCATACAACAATGTAGAATTTTGGGAAAACTAACTTCTTCAATTGAACTTTTCCAAAATATTCCGAATTTTATTACTGAAACGAACTGCTCTAACTCTGAATATTGCAAAAAATTGAGACAAAAATTTTTCGAAAAACTTCGAAAAAAGATAACAAATTGTGCAGTCTGAAAGGACCTGAGCAGGAAGCACTTCTGCAACACCTGTTAAGTAACTGTACATCACCCCGCAATAGAGTGAAAAAATTCAAAAATGATAAATTTTTTCAAATCTAAGTTTAAAATTTCTGAAATATTTCGGGAACTAAAAAAATTAGGCAATCATTTGTATGGATGTCATATCTGCTATTGCTGCAAATGGTTGAGAATTTCAAATTTTGTGAAGTCACAAAACTCGCATATCTATTAGATTTGAGTATTCATATTTGGAGGCCAATTTCTCAACCCATGGTAGATTAAGAAAAAAATAAAAATACTTAAATTAAGAACCCTTACAACACTCCACCATAGAATGGCTATACTAAAACTTGATGAAAAAAACACTGATACGAAATAATTTATAGATGGATGAATCCCATCTTTATACTACCCTAAACTGCGCTGCCCTACTCCCCTTCCGTACTGGCATCGTAGCTACATCAGTATAGTCCAATTGGCCTAGCAGTCATTAACTGGAAAACCGAAAAAAAATCTTTAAAAACCTTTTAATATACACGGCTAGCAAGCCCGCCTTCAATAATCAATTGGCTCGCAAAAAATTATTTGTTGTTCTGATCAAGCTATTCAAGCAAAGAAACTTTGAACAATTTCAAGTTAAGCCATATCGTAAATCGGTTTAAAAAACTTTCGGTTTCATGGAACGAATCGGTTCCCAAGAATTGAAGTGAAGAAAAACGGATGGCTCAATTTAAGGGTTCTAGATTGAAGCTATTCAAGCATTAAAACTTTGAAATATTGCAAGTTGGTTCATAGAGCGAATTAATTGGCGAAAAGTTTAAGTTTTTCTAGGTAAGCTAATAGAGCATGGAAACTTTGAAAAAGTTCACGTTGTTTCATGAAGCGAATCAGTTGGCAAAACGTTTTTCTTAGTGAGCTATTCAAGCTATGAAATGAAATATTTCAAGTTACTTCCCAGAGGAAACTGGTTCGCAAAAGGTTCAAATTTTTCTATGCAAGCTAGTTAAGACAATTCCAACTTTTAAACAATTATAAATTTTTGTATAGATTGATAAAATGGGAAAAATTCGCGAAATTTTTATTGTATATTTTATTGCTTATTTTCATTGTAGACTGAAAATATTCGCAAAATATTTTTCTTTTTCTAAGCAAGCTGCTTAAGCTAAGAAACTCCAAAAATCAAGTTAGTTCGAAAAGTGAACCGGATGGCGAACTATTTTTCTGATGAAGCCTTTTAAGTGATTTCCAGGTTTTTCTTAGTTTTTTTATTTTTTTTACGCAAACTAATGGAGCAAGGAACTTCGAAAAAATCCAAGCTATTTCTTAGACCGAATCATGTTTGCCAAAAGTTGAAGTTTTCCAAGGCAAGCAATTTAAGCTATAAAACTTTGACATGATTCAAGATATTCAAGGAAACAAATCGGTTCACGAAAACTTGCTTAAGCAAGTTAATCGAAACTTTGAACTTTGAAGCTATTCGAAACTTTGTAAGCTACGTGTTCATTTCCGAAGTCAAATCATAGACTGACTCGGTTTGCAAAAAAATTTTCTAAGCAAACTTTTCAAGCTATGAAACGTTTAACAAATTCCATTTACTTCATAGAACGAATCGTTTCGTAAAAAGTTTCTTTCTTAGCATGGAGGTTGCTGTTTTCAAGTGATTCGTTTTAGCAATTTCTGGTATAATGCTTATTGCAAATACAAACCTACCAAAAACGTACAGCGCTATCCAAAAATTAGAAAAACACTCACCGCTATGAAAACGATTCTATCAGTAACCTAATAAAATTTTGACATACGTGCGATTGCCAAAGAAGCGATCAAAACGAGGCCGCTAAATTTGATACAAAAAAACTTAGAAAACTAATTCGACGAAGAAAATTTGGAACAAATCATTTTGAATCTTTATTTTTGAAAAAAAATGAGTTTTATCACCACACGCATCCTGAATATACTAAAATCAAGGAAACCAGGTAACGCCTTCGATCCCACTCAATGCAGGAACCGTTTTGGAATTTCATCTAGGAGGCGGTTGACATTGGAACCCCGGCAACAGTGACGGACGTGGGATTCGAACGCACGACACTCGCGTTGAGAGACGCATGCTTTACTGCACTCAAGCACGGCCGCTCCCGGGCTATAGCAAGTCAATTTGCACTTACTAAGCCGGTTAGAAATACAAAGTGGCAAGATATAAAATACATTTCTGTGAAATCTTATAAAACCTATCGAGCAATCGAACAAAATTTAAGATAACATCGGCTTTTCAGATATGACTGTTAACGCTGCAGATATCATAACATCCATTCGCAATTTTGATGCATTCTGCAAATTGGTCGTTTATACGATGTTTTTGCAAAGGAAATAAGGGGAAAAAGTATGGTCAGCGATTTGAATAACTTAAAAACATCAGTAAAAAAAGATAACAAAAACAATCGAAGCATTGAATTCGAAATTAAAACTTATTTAGTCTTATACTCAAGACCGAAAAGGTTATTAAACTTTTTCGATCGCACTATACCTGCCAAAACCCGTAAAAAATGAGTGAACTCAAAGAAGTTTTGTTTTCTATCGCAGACCAGTTCTATTTTATCAGTTTATATAAAATCAGATAAATCAATAACCAACGAATAAATGGAGGTAAGCAAACCTTACTTAACTGCTCACTAATAGTCTTACTTGTAGAGTAGTCTCACACAAGCAGCTGAACTTCACAAACACAAGCAAGAAAACGGCAAAAAATGAAACCAAGAAAAAAAGTTTTAGATGGAAAGAAATAAAACTTTTTCAATATGCCGGAATTGACGACCGACCTCGAGATTTAAAGTCTACCATATAGGCATCGTCGTCATAGCCTCGTGCAGAAAATCAGAAACTAACCAGAAACAAAGTCTATGGAACAGATGCTATTGAATAGTTAATGCCACGCAGCAAAACTGCCAAAAACTAGCACTTTTATTTGAGAGATGGATTCGATTTAACACTACATTCGGTAGCTCGATTGGTTAGGTGACAATGATCGGTTGCTGTGCAAAAAGTACAGACTGTCCCGCTGACTGTAGTAGAAAATAATCACAAAAAACCACAGTTTTTGTCATTTTTTTCTCTAACTTTTTTATAAGGGGCCATAGGGAGAAATCAGGCGTCAAAAACTAGTTTACAAAATCTAAAACTAAAATTAAAAAAAAACCACTGAATGTATCATTGCGAGGCTTGGGATCTAGTGAATTACCTTAAAACTGTCGTCTTATATACTGATATTTCGCTCGTTAGTTATCCTGAATTGATCAAACTGACAATTTACCGCTGGCCAGCGTTTGTTATCATGAATCAAAAAAATTCAAAATTCAAAACCCCTGACTCTACAAAAATGGACATGTTTCAAGCCCCCTGACACTACAAGAATAGTTGAAGGTGATAATATATCTCTTTAAAATTGAGAATAGGGTATCGCAAGCTTTAAAATGATATAAGAACGTCAAAAAAGGCTTGCTAGAAAGTTTGAAGATAAAAATGAACCCAGCAAAAATATTCCGTCACTTTCTTCGAAAATCGGAACAGAAAATATTTGCTAATGTGAAAAACTGGAAGTAAATAAACCAGCCGAAGTATAAACCAACCAAAAATGTGCAGAGTACATAAACCAGCCGAAAAATTGAATCATATAAATGAAAGTAGCATAACTTTCGTAACTGTTAGATAATTGTTGCATAACTATTGTATAACGCTTACGTATTTCGGCTGGTTGGTACTTCGGCTGGTTTATATACCACCGAAAAAACTAATGTCATAAATTGAATTCAGAGAATTCAGTTGCTGCGAGCCGCATTGGAATTTTTAATCATCGCCTGCCAATCGGATTGCATCGTTAGTAGACTACAAACTTTGCTTAGACAGACCAGATTATGCCCAAATTTTTTTACGGCCAGCGTGACATATATTCGAAAAATCCAAATCATACAACTTTCAAGATAGTTGTGTTTCTATGAGAAAATTCGGAAGATACCAAATAAATACAGATTTTCCACAAATTTTCTACAGAAGACGCATTTCCATTTTAAACCGCTAATGATTAATGTCTTTGCTTGTTAAAAAAAGAATTGGTAAAGCACCGCAGTTAAATGAAATTGAATTTATATTTGAAATACTTGAATCGCGCATGCTTAGAGTTGGCTTTTGTGATGAAACTAATGTTCAAAAGAGTAATTTTGGTTGTTCCCCCCTCACATACGCTACGCATCAAGTGAATTATCAAAAATATTTACAAAGTTAGCTATGAGAACATGTCATGTTGAGCGCAATAAGTCAATATGCCGCGTTTCTCACAATCGGAAAATGTTAAAAGGTTATACAATTAAAATTGGAAGGCATGAGAAAAAGCGAAGCAGTAATTCTTGATTCGAATAGGTCAATTCTTACGTTTCAATTTATTATTTTTTTTCACTGACACTTGGGTTTAACGAAGGCGGTCCTGTTCAAGTATTTATGACCATCAACTCGTTAGCTGTTTTTTATCGCCTTTCAAATTATATGAAACTGAAACTCAGCTGATGTTTTCGATCAGATTATTCAATGGAACGATTCATTGGAAAGCAACTTTCCATTCGAGTTTTTGAGGTTTTACGTTTTACGTGATATAAACGTTTTACGTGATTGAGTGATATAACATTAAAGCTCTTTCTCTCGGATACGGGCAGATGAAGAAAAAAATTCGCTGCCTCAAGAAAAACAGTTTAAAATATTACGAAAGCCTGTGTCACTAAACCGCAATCATCGATGGCCTTTCACGCATATAAAGAGAGCGAAAAGTTATTTGAATGTAGTTTATGCTTTAAGTACCTGCTTCATGGAGCGCAAACTCACTTACAGGCCTAGCGATTTCAGAAGTAAAAATATAATTTTGTACCTGAAGGCTACGACGAATCCAATGTAAGCAGTGTCCGTGTTGGTAGCCGCGTTGAAAACATTCACCGTAACATTCGTATCATGTGAGCAAAACACAGGCGCGTCCGCTGGAGCAACAAGGATACTTGCAGAATCTACCAAATAAGTATTTGGATCGGTGTACTGTAATACTAAGTTATTGGTTATGTCAGGTCTCCATGGTCCAGAAGAACAGTATTGTGCATCTCCATTGAAAGATGGACCCCCACCAGTGCCGACCAACTCGATAAAGTCCGCGCATGGAATACTTCTGCCTTCTGCCAAGCCAACAGCAAGCAACGCAACTTGCACGTGGTACCCTTGAGGTGCCTGGATGACGTAAGAGCAATCTTCAGGCTCTGCGCTTCTCTGCTCGGATTGGGTAGCAGTTCCAAGGAAACTGCCGCTAGGAAAATCTTCAGCTTTTCCTACAGTCTGTCCACGCGATGCAAACCAGTTATTCGATACTATGTAACCCGTCTCGATCGTAGCGCCCACGTTTATGGTAACTCCATTAGAGCACGGCGTTTGCGCATTTCCAGTCAAAACTAGCCCAAAAAGCACCCAAATTAAAATAATATAAACCCTCCTTAGCCCCTGTGATGACAAAGCTTCATACGGCTTAAAACCGAGATCTGTCATTTTTCAAAAGGACTTTTTTACTCAATATCAATGTGATTTTAATCAGCGATCATTTTCTATGCTTAAACAATGCAGCTAAGAATTAACAGAGTTAAGTTTTGAGTTTGAACCAAATGATTAAAAATGAATATATGTTTAATTTAAAACATGCACATACTTACAACTTGTTTTTATTTAACACAGCAAAGCGAGTAGGCGAATATTTGGACTTGAATCAAAAAAATTTATACGCCCGAAGCTGGTTGTGTATTTTGACCACACAAGTCCATAATAAAATACTTCACACGCATTTTAATAAGAATCAAATCTCACTTAAACAAACGGTATTAAAAAGAAACCAAATATTGGCGTTTACTCTTATTATCAATCGTCTGCACTCGTAAACGAAGTCGAAAAACATGCTTTAATCTTTACTTAAAAGTCAGTTAAAAAATGAATTAAAAAATTGCATGTTAAACTTACAATCATGGGACAGCGGAATCAACAGACATGTGTGTGTGCGTGCGTGGAGCGCGATCAAAAAGACAACATGTCAGAGACCTTCGTAAGCTAATCAGAATCGAGATAAGAAAAGAAACGTACGAATCATTTTCGTTTCTTGATTCTGATTGGCTTCTGATCTGTCTTTTTTTGCTACGTAGCCGTGTGGGTCATCTTTGCATTATACAATACTGATTTAAATTATCCGAACAAAACGATCAAAACTTGATTTTTCAAACACGTTTTCCTTAAATTGGGTTAAGATTGTGAAGGGAACAAAAGTTGCTTCAAATTTCATTAGAATTAATATGATGCAATTTTTTCTCCGAAATTCTCAACCTAAATTTTACCCCGAAAATGGGTCATTTTGACTTTTCTCAATTAATCAAGAATTACGCTGAAACTACTTCGTTAATTGATGAGGTATATATATCACAAGAAGCCTATCACACAGCCCAACAAAGTTCTAGAAGGGCTAAATCTCCAAAAATTTTGAGTAAATTGTTTAAAACTTGTTTTTTATCAAAGATTTTGGGTTTACATAGTAAAAATCACGTTTCTTGAATATCAAGCAAAAATATTTTCTTTTATACTGGTTTTTGGAGATCTAACCCTTCTTGAGCTTTGTTGGGCTGTGTAAGAGGCTTCTTGTGATATATATACCTCATCAATTAACGAAGTAGTTTCAGCATTATTCTTGATCAATTGAAAAGCTATTTTTCCGGTAAAACTTTGGTTGAAAATTTTGGAGACTCATTTACAGACAGAGGAAATCTTTTAGGCCAAGAGTTACCTTTCATTCCATCAAGGAAACAAATTATTTTAAAAAATATGGAAAGAATAAGCTGTGTTGCAAGTAATGAAAGTAATCAAAGCAGCTAGCGCATGCTACTAGCCACGCGTGCTTATCAATACGCCCTTTTTCTAGAAAGTGTACATTTTACCTTTTTTGAAATGAAACAATTTTAAAGTGAAAATTTTCAACGAATCTAGAGTCAGCAATTAAATTTGTGACATACATCTGTTTCTTTGCATCTCAGTGTACGCTTTTTTCTTGTAAAGCTAAAAGAAAAACACAAAAAAGCAATTAAAATGTTTTTTTTTTAATGACCAGCATACAGCAGCTGAGCTTCATCTAAGCAATGAAAGGAAATATACAAACATCACGCAAAAATGGCCCTTGAGAAACGGGGAAACAAAACTTTCCAGCCCCAAAATTGAGAAAGGACAAAAGAGTCTCAAACCATAAAACTTACACCGAAAGTTTTCAAAAAATACCATTTATAAGCGCTCAAAATAAAAAAACTTTTTTTTTCATGCAAAGCAATGTAGCCTGGATTTAAAAACTTAAATTTTTTGCCAATTTTCAAAGACAAGAACATACAGTGTCCTTTCAGGATGCAGCGAAAATACCAAAACGGACCGTTTAAAAAAATCAATGAACGCAAAGAAACATAAAAAAAACTGACCTGTTTTTGAAAAACCTTCAAATTTCAAAGAAAAAATTATATGATCTTAAACCTATTTGAATTCAAAAAAAATTGTGAATGAGATTTTACTGATAAATTAACCCAATTTGAGAGAACTTGATCCATGTGTAAATTTCTTATTTTGATGGAAAACTTAAAAAAACAAAATGCACTTGCAAAACCAAACGTTGATCACCTTTTTCATGACAGTTTTACTTTTCCTCTTTAATAGTGGAATTTGCTGTCCTTGCAACAGAAGGATTATTGTTCCGACTTTCGATACGAAAGTAACGGAATATTTGTGCTCGGGGTGGGTTTTTTTTTCTTCAGACAAATTTCGACTTTTTAACTAGCCATTTTTGACGGATTTTTTTTTACATCATTCGAAAGGTATTGTTGTCCTGAGCTCAAATTTGAAAAGATATTTCACCTGTGATCATTTTTCGCAAAGTCACGGGGATTTGAAGATTGCCATTTTGGTCAATTTGGGACAATTAACGCGCGATATTTTTCGCTCTAGTAACGCGTAAGCGGAGAGTTAATCCGTCTTAGAAATCGTTCCAAATTTGGTTGAAAGAAGCTTATTTGCCTTTATTCAATTGTTACTAGAAGCAAAATTTATTGTTTTGTACTTTATATGGCGTGTGGGGGGATGATTTTCATAAAAAATTTCAAATTTTAGAAATTTTTTTTTGATTGTATTTAATTTCATTGAATTTTAAAATGTTATTACTGCTCCATAAACCTTAAAAGGCAGTCGGACATTCAGTGCTTCGCCCTGATACGAGCAGTCTTTTTTGAACTATAAAAAGAGTCACCAGTCAAACCGCGTTTTCTGAAAATAAATCGAGCAAGTTTTTTGCGCCATTTCTTCTTTCGGAATTGGAGAGTGAATTTCACTTAACTTTTAGCAAAGAAACTTGAACTGAACCTGAAAAATTCTTATAGACCTAAGGCCATTCATAACTGCATTAGATATGTTTGAATGCCATTCTGTGCTTATTAGAGCATTTTAAGACTAAGTTTTATTAATGTTCGGTGTTTATTTTAACGAAAGACCATATACGGAGAGCTTATCAAACCAAACAGCCTGTATCTGTATGCTTAGACAAGAAAATACAAGCTTCATCTTACACATATTATTTTGGTTATAAAATTTAAGTAGCTGATTTACACTTTAAATTCAAAAGACGGCCATAGCTTAAAATCCAAAAATTTTAGGCTGAAAACGCTCAAATTATATAACAATTAGTAAAACTCGCTTTTGAACATATAACAGATTGAGATGAAATGTTGATATATATGATCTGAGCATAAAACATATACACTAAAACTTTCTCACCTTTTTTCGATTGCTGTTTCAGAGAGCAGACACTTTTCTCAGTAAATCACAATCTCTTAGCCATCCAAATGGTTACAGAGTTGGTACTTTTCGGCCGACCAACTCAAAGAATTTTAAAAGGCGCCTTTGGTATTATTCTGCTTTGAGTATTAATATAAAATATCCTGAAGCGCAAAAAAATCAGCTATATTAGGGTTGTTTGAAGTTTTTAGAAAACCACAGAAGATCAAAACGAAGCTCCACTAATTTTCCTAACATCTCAAGATTCCGATAATACTTCAAGCGCAGTATCCAATTCAATCGGGCAAAATGATCAACAAACTGATCCTGCAAACTATTAGGGAAGTGCTACGACTAACTATATTCTTCAAATTGGAGCAGTGCACGCACATGCTTCGAGTTCAGCAGCACTTGTTTTGGTTATCGCATGATAATACGACGCTTCACGCTTACAATCAACCCCCACACTGCTGGTATGCGCCCCACCAGAAAAATTTGACGAATCTCAAACCTGATTGGATGAAAAACTTAAGCAGCGTGGTTGGGGATTATTCATTCAAATTTGGTTACAAAACTAGTTTTTGAACTTTATCACTAGTGCGCAGCAAAACAGGGTATCAATTAACAGTTTAATTAGAGAGCACTATAGTAGTAGCAAACCTTCTTCCATATATATGACAAGTTATGCGTGGATTGTGGTCTGATCTGGTGATATATCGCGTGATAGCTCGTGACATCAAGTGATATCTAATCATGATCTTAGTTTTGAGTAAAAAAGAGATGAATTCTCTTGAAGGAGAAATCAATTTTCTCATACTTAACAAACTCGAATTACCTAAATACAAATACAGCCTTGCAAGCTACTAAACAGAAAAAAAAACAGAACTACAAAAATTTTAAAAATTGCCTGTAACGATGCTATAATTTAACAAAAGACGTGCAGAGATCGCCATTGTTAAATGTTTTAACAACCATTCTTCGAGAAGAGGCAAAAAAGTGGATAAAATCCCGTTGAGCCGAAAGAAAAACTGTTGTCATAAAGAACTGATGAAATTCTTAAACGCTGAAACTTTATACACCCTCCCCACACACACCCTCTTGAATCACACAAAATGATTTAAGAAAAACTATTTCTTCTTTTAAACGACAAAAATATGGCCCGTAAGCCGATGAAACATACACTGAAACAAATGAGGCAAATAAAATCTGTAACCGAAAAACCAGCAAAAATGAAAATACCAAAATGACTAGGAACAATGTTTAAAACACAAACAAATCCGTAATGTGGCAACATGGCCACAAGCAATAGGCCAACAATTTTTTTTTGAAACGGAACATTTATCGAATCTTTACCGTCTCCAGAACAACTTTGCCAAAGAAGCTTAGAAGTTTGATTTTTAGAAGCCAAGCTATCAAATGATGCAATTGTTTTTGTTAAATAGATTGTTTGATCAAAAAATCTACATTCCTATTGATAACTTTTGCTAATCTTCATCGCAAACACTTACAATTACAATAAAAATTGCTTTTAGTGCAGAAAAAAATCAATGAAGTGACCACTAAGCCGTCAAAGCATAAGCAGACAAACAATAGGCCAACTATTTTTTGAAGCCGAATATTTTTCGTTTGAAGAAAAAACTGGCTCTGGCCAGAATCAAAATTAGGACCTTTGCCAACTCAGGCGGAGTCCTCGCCTCGGAACAAAGAAAATCGAATTTCTAATCAGCCAAGCTATCAAATGATTAAACTGATTTTGTCACACAAGTTTTCAACTCGAAAAATCTATCTTCCAATTTACTGGCAAGCGTAATTATTTCATGGAAAATGAAGTGGCCTGAAATTGTCCGTGGATTTAAAATTGTCCGGGGATTTAAAATTTGCTTTCTAGATTTTTTTTTCCAATTTTGAATTTACTTTCCTTCAATTATTTTCGATTCTAAATTCTATGCTACTTTCAAAGCAACTGATTATCCTTATTGTTCGGGCCAACTCCTGGCGTAGACAACTCGTACGGGGTCAAGTGAGGTATCATAAGAAAGCTTTTTTTAGCCCTGATTCACTTTCTTCAAAAAAATTATAAAGAGTGTCTCAGTGAAAAGAAAAACTGGTCGGAATGAATGAAACACAATGTAAAACTGACAGGATAAAAAACTGAGCTTTAAATGATTTCTATTACAACTGTAACATTATTTTTGCTACTATTTCTTCATTTTTGCAATTTTTAACCAAATTCAATTGCGTTTTAATAAAAAATTTTTTCCATAGGTGAAATCATTTAGTTTAAATATTGTGAACAACATCTGCTAATTGCGCCGCAACCGGTTGACCAAAAATTTTGATCTGGATTTGAGGGCTGATAGAAAAATTCTGGATTTGAGGGCTCTCAGAAAAGGTAGCAAATGAAAATTTTCAGTGCCACTAAAACACTACTTAAATATTTCTCGTTGAACTTGTATCGCGACTGACTATCACTTTACCCAGAGGAGAGGTTTCATATCGCACACACTCGCGAAAGAAGACGCTTTTACCACCAATTTGGTCAGCCTCAATCAAAAACCAAATTATGGAGAGACAATAATTTCCAAATGCCTTTCATTACTTACTATCAGGGGCAGATTTAGGGGGGGGGGGGGGGGGACGCCTCTCCTCTCTCAGTAATTCGGCCCATTTGCTAACCAAAGTGTCCCCCTTTGGTGTTATTTTATGACATCCATTTTTGGCCGACCAACCATAAAATTTTTCAAAAAACTGGCGCAAACGCATACTAATTTTCAAGGAGAGCGCGCGCCGAAAAACAAATTTTTTGGGTGAACATTTTCCAAAAAAAACAGAAAACTGTCAAACGGTCCAAAAGGCCCAAAAACGGCGCTGCAGGAAACTTGGTCATAATAGGGTCTTTCAAGTGATTTAGGTGAGCTCGGAAAATCATTTTGGTCGACCTGAAAAAAATCATTTTGGTCGACCTGAAATTTTGAAAATCAGCCCCCTCGAGAAAATCCAACATCCGCCCCTGATCACTACGCCAGATTGTTTTTAAAATCTTGAGCTTCTGTTGAACGCCGTCAGCAAGCTGAAAAATAAAAAAATAATTCTGTTTTTGGCACATTCTCGGCAACTTGCATTTCAGCGTCTCCTCGTGTTGTTGTTTATATCGGTTTTCCGCATCATGACTATACCCCAGAATGGAAAATTAATCGCGACTGGGAAAAAGGGTGCTCTCTGAGTCAATCTTTGACTTAAGAAAGAACACTCAAATCATTCTCTAAAATTTACAATGAGGGAGAATTGATTAAGAACTATTAAAACAACAGTTCGGGCTATATGGTTTGGTTTAAGCTATGAGCAATTTCAGAAAATTGACTTTCAATACCCCGAAACCTGTCCCCTTAAAAAACATAACACCGAGGCATAGCTGCGCTTCGCACCACTTGCGATACAAAAAAAAATGAGAAACATCAAAAAATATTGTGTATGAAACGAAGTGAAAAACTTCAATAAATTAGGAAAAAAATTTATTTCAATTGTTTAAAAAATCAGTTTCCTAAAATATAAGCAAGATTCGGGCAACACAAACTCCATATATGTCTTTCTAATAGCCAATAGATGGAAACAATAAAAATTTGGCAAAAAAAAAACGAGATCCAAGAGTTTCTGAATGTACTCAAAAACTTTGCTTCAAATCTTGTAAATAAAGAACCTATACGTCCTACAGGAACAATTGAGTTTACGAAACGCAAAAAAAAACGAATTCAAAACTTCAATTTCCACAAAGAACCACACTCTTGAATTGCGCAAAACTTGTCACATATCTTCGTATTGAAAACAGTCGTCAAAATTGCTTGAAAAACATTCTGAAAACTTGAATTTATTTTTGAAATAATTCTTATACATTAAAACAATACGCTATGCCATCAATTTGAATCGATTTCAAATAAATCTGCTCAATTTTTAAATATATTGAACAGATAAAATTTAAAGCTACTTCCACGCTCTTATAGAACAAAATCAGAAACCATGCGTACGAAAAAAAACTGAAAACTTTTTGGCAATTTTTTTTTAATTTCAGTTTTTTTCTTTTCTAACAAAAATTTTTCGAGTGTACAAAAACTGAGAAAACATGCTTTAAATTTACCTTCTGGAATATGTAGAAAAAAGTACTGAACAAATCGACAAAAATAACCGATATAAAACACACGACAAGCCGACAAAAATTGGTACGAAATCAAAAAAAAGCCGACAAAAAATCAATTTATAACTGAAACACCTTTTTCAGCTGTAGACCCAGTATCACTTCAGTGGCTCTAGACCAGCTGTTAAAATACAGCTGTTAAACCTACAAGTTGGCTTAAAATCAAAAATTTTTATTAAAATAAATTATTTGAAAAAAATTCAAAAAACGTGACAATTATTCATGCTTAATTTTGCTAATTTTATCATGAAGGGCTTAAAGTGGTGTTTAAATTTTTTTTTAATTTCTTGTTAGTTTTCAATCGCTGCAATAAACGAACATAAAAAGAATAAACACATTCGGAAAATAAGCCAACAGAATTAAAGCCGACCGTCATCAGTGCCGTAAATAAACTATAAAAAGAATAAAAACATTCGGAAAATAATCCGACAGATTTAAAGCCGACCTCCATCAGTGCCGCAAGACAGCGGTACACTGACCATGTAGCGGTTATAAAACACACTATTACCATTTGACCATTCTGTGAACAATGTTATTTATGAAAGAAAAGTATAGTACCCGATTGCAATACCCTCGCTTACCGCAAGTGAAATGAACATGCACCGATCATTCTATGCTTCTTGCACAGCCATCGGCTAATCGTGTTTATTTTGATAACAGCTGTCTCGAATCGCTTTCCAGTAATTTGAAAACTTTTGTGAGAAAATTCTATTGAACAGAAACAAATAAACAATTTATTCGATAAATAGCTTCAAAAAGCATCTCAGATCTCTGGATATACAGCACATTTAACTCAATCTAGCATTTAAAAAACCCTTTCTTCTGGGAATGAGATAAAACACTTCATTTGTATCATTACTTCCATGCAACTGAAGTTAAAATAACACAAGCGGCGGTTGCTTGTCTAACATTTATTGCAATAACCATTACTATGAAAAAAAACTATGCATTCCGCATTAATCTAAACAAAATATACAGAAAATAATTTTTCTAGCATAAGTTCTCCGGCTATTTTTCAAAACATAGATATCTACGTGTACTTTTATACGAAAATTTATCAAATAAATCATAGACAAAAATGTTGATATTGATAATCTTTAGTTTGATGAAGTTTCAGGTCGATTAGAGAATTGCTGAGGTCATGTCATACAATGGCCAAAAATATCTATTTTACACTCAGAAATGTATTTATCATCTACTTAACAAAACATAGCCAACAAAAAGTTGGCAAAAGAGTCAATGAACGCAAGTAAACAGGAGGAAGAAGTAAATAATAAATTCCCTCAAAGCTCTTAAAATTTCGAAAACAATTTATCATTGGCATTTTTTTTTAATAAAATTAACCCAAATTGAAAAAACTGGATCAATAGGTAAATTTTATATTACACTGGGAAATTCGATAATTAAATTTCATTTTCGAAATTAGAAGTCAATCAGGTTTTTCGTGACCTTTACACTTTTGCTGTCTCTTATCAAAAAAATGGTTTGAACTTGAAAAGAAATCAAAAGTCAAAACGCAAAAAAAGTAAATTTGAGCCAGAACTTTTCCAGAAAAACTCGCGACCTATATAAGAGTCTGAACTACGTTCATTGACTCTTAATAACATTCAACGATAAAATTCATCTAAACTCAATATTTTTCTCGTTCTATTTTCTTTCAATTATAATAAAATATCCTCAATTCGCCAATAATTTCAGCCAATTATTCTTTCTGACTCAAAACAACAGTTCATATTGCAATCGAACAATCTGGTCATCTTTTTTGGCGAATAAAATTGACACTCAATTATCATTCATTAGGAGTTACATTAAATATCATTCGAACTCGATACAGAAACAGCCGAAAAATCTCGGACCAGGTCCTTGGATTCGCTGGAACACTCAGTTGGCTTTGTAGCTATACCAGAGCAGGTAGTAGTAATAACAGAAATAGTATTGGTGCCAGCAGTAGTATTGGTACTAGCAGCAGTATTGTTGTTAGTAGAAGCAGTATTGTTTGCGGGGGGATCCGCAGAGGTCTTTGGGGAGGGGGCGCTGGTTGAAGTCGAAGTAGGGGCGGCATTGTTGTCCGAGTGTTCGCTGTCTGAGAGTGACAGGTGTCTCTCCTGTTCTTTCAGTATGTTCACGATGTCCCGATGCTCTTTCAGAAGAGTCTGCATTTCATCTCTGCTGTGTTTTTTCTGCAGTCGCCGAGCCTGAAAAAATTGCTTCCTTACCCAGTTTACTTATTTTGTTTGTACGAACAAAGATTCAATTCAAACACATAGGCGAAGTGGGTCCACGAACCATTTCCAACATATGAAAAAATCTGAGAATCAAAACTGAAATCCCATTTTGAGAAAGCAGATATTCGTCCAGCTAAACCTGATTTTAATAAACATTTTAAGAACATTTGAATTCATATACAAATAACAAAAAGTTTAGAGTCAAGAGTTTCATATCCGTTTGTTCAATCTAGCTCTCCCTTTTAGGCAACACAGATTTTCTGGCGCCTCTAAAGTCGATATCATGAAAGTTTCGGATAAGTTTAAAATTCACCAAGGGCAAAGAAACTTTCGCAACGAAATCATACAGACAGTTGAATATACACAGAGGCAAAAAAGATCTCCGCACCACCTGCGATGCATCACAAACATAGCATGAGCTGTAAAAAAAAGAGAAGAAACACCTACAAACATTTTCATATCAATAATTTTCTCGAATGAAATTCATTTAGGTAGAATCATGGTGAGCAGGAAAACTTTCGGTCTTACTCTAGCATTGAGACAAAAACTATTTAAAAAAACTCAGCCGAAAGTACTTGGGTGTCGACCTCTGCGCCGAAAAAAAATCCTAAGATTGAAATTTCTTTGATTAAAAAAATTAACTTGACAAAACTGTATAAAAAGGTAAAAAAAAAGGCTGCGAAATCTCAAAACTAAAAACCACTTTCGAAACTAAAATCGCGTTCATTTTTAGCAAACTTCACACTTTTGCACATCGATAGTGGAGTTTGCCTTACATTTAACAGAAGAAATGAAATTAACTGCAAAAACCAAAACAAAATATTAACTTTTTCCTCTAAAACACAACGTAGAAAAAAAACAAATCATTGAAACTCATTTGATCATTTATATCAGAAATTATACAAAAACTGAGTTTACTAATTGTACAAACAAGATAAAATTTTGCATAGAACGGATGTGCAAAACGCAAAAATGCTCAAATTACATCTGTTGCACTAAAATTTTGGCAAAGGCCCCAGGATATGAGTCCTGAAGACGAGGTTTTGAAAAAAACATGAACTCGATGTCAAAACACTTGCTCTCGCAAGTCTTAAAATAAACCTAAAATTTTTGACGGTCTATCATGATAGAGACGAAACGGAGCTTTGCACCACTTGCCATACAACAAAAACCTAAAAAGTGTTTATGTTTTTGTTGTATGGCAAGTGGTGCAAAGCTCCGTTTCGTCAATATCATGATAGACAGTCAAAAATTTTCAATGTTCATAGTTCAATATTCGACAAAGTCCAATATTTGAAAATTTGAAATAACCCATTTCATCCGGGATCAGTATAGCGAATTCAAAAAATATTTAACTGGTTATTCCAGCTTTAACTGAGTCTCTAGTTAACTTTTATCGAGATAAAGTAAAGTTGTGGTTCACCTAGTTTTTTCTAAACGTTTTTCGTTTTTTTTGCCTAATGTTTTTATTAAAAACATTAGGCAAAAAACAACGAAAAACGTTTAGTAAAAAACTAGGTGAACCAAAACTTTAGTATATCTCGATAAAAGTTAACTAGAGGCTCAGCTAAAGCTGGAATTAACAGTTAAATATTTTTTGAATTCGCTATACTGATCCCGGATGAAATGGGTTATTTCAAAATTTCAAATATTGGACTTTGTCGAATATTGAACTATGAACATTGAAAATTTCGAATATTGAACTTTAGTAGGGATAAAACATTAGTTGTTTCTCTACTACAATAGGTGAGAAGAAAGAATTTTTTTGAGAAATTGGAATCTTCCCAAAGAAAACATTTTTCCTAAAAAAAACTTATGGAGTCGTCACTTCTGCAGGAAAAATTCTCATAATCGTTTCTTTCGATCGGAACCGTAGACTCAGATTTGATAGGGTAGTTTCTAAAAAATTCGAAATGTTTCTAAACAACAGTCAAAATTTCGAAAACTTGAATTTCAGTAATCATAACTTTTCTGCAAAAAAATAGGTCGCGGCCGCTTAAGCAGAAAAAATTATAACAGGATTTCTCGATTGAACACTTGACCTAAGAATTGACGGGGAAGTTTTCGCTAAAATCCATTATGTTCCCAAAAAGCCATAGATAGATTTTAAAAATTGATTTTTCCGAGAATCATAGACTTTTGCATAAAACTTTTTGGCGTAGCCATTTATGCAGAAGAGAGTCACAATCTATTACTTCGATTAACCCAAAAACTCAAATTTGGGAGTGTCGTTTTCGAGAAAAGACAAACATTTTCGAAAAACTTATAACAAATTAAACATTAAATTAGCAGCGGCTCAAAGTTTACGAAGAGGAAACAAAGCCGACAATCTTTGAGCAGACACCAGTTCAACCGACAAAAAAATGATATTTCGAATTTTTTAAAACCTTTCAAGTCCCCCTCAAACTAGAATAAACAACACTTGCACTTGTAACTACAATCAAAGTTATTAAGAGCAGAAGAAAGATCAATGATGTGACAACTAAGGACCATCTTTGAGCAGAAACCAACTGATCCGAAAAAAAAAGATTTTATGAAATCGCACGCATACCGACTTCTTCAGGATTGACCCCCCTAGAATATTTTCCCTTCCAATTTGGGGGGGGGGGGACCCAGCGGAATTTTGTACCATCAAATTTATTTCAAAATTTTTTTTAAAAAAAAATATGCCATTTTTGAGTTTTCAACGCGAAAAAGTTTTCGCCTGGATTAAATAACTAAATTTCATGCCAATTTATTTGTTCGAGAAAACGTATGACTCGATTTTACCATTCTCTTTATCAGAATTGATCCAAAGTTGCGAGACGCCCCTGATAATTTTGAAAACCCCCACACCGCAATGACAAATACCTTTTTTGTTCAAAAAATGTCCATCCTCCCCGGTAATTTTCGACACCCCGCGCGAATTATGCACTGCATAGTATTACACAAGTTTTTCTTGTATAACGCAACATCTTTTTATTTCCTAAAACGAACCCTTGAAACCAAATGCGTCTGACTGTTTGTCTAAGAAAAAAACCCTATGCCTGTGACAGCTCAGCAGAGAATTATTCTGATGAAAGACAGTTTTCATGGAAAACAGTTTTAACGAAGGAAAATTTCATTTTCCGATGGATATTCTTTAGATGTTCTGTCACGCAACACAAATAAATGAGGATTACCAAAGATTAAAAAGGCAGCATATGGGAACCATCGGATACAGACGCCGCACAGATCTTCAAAGCCGGACACAAGTAACTTCATCAATTTCTACAAATCAAATTCTATCGCTGAAAAAAAAGTCGTCGCTTGAAGTCTTTTTGATCGCAGAAATTTATGAAAAATTATGCAACTTCATTTGAGCGGGTAGATTGAGATAAAACAAAAAAGAGAGACATCGCGTATCAACTTGATAGAAATTTCGCAAAAAAAATACTTAATTTTCGCCCAACCAAAATTTTTTAAAAAAACTTGAACTGTTTCACAATTATTGTCAGCAAATATTTGATCTCCACTTAACTGCCTCATCAAAAAAAGACCGAAGAAACCAAGAAATGTCAACTGATTATGACCATAAAAGCTTTTTCAATAAACTAACTAACCGAACTAAAAGAAACAAACACATGTTTTTTCGTTGAAAACATTGCCTTGATTAATACCTTCAACCTTCCCATATATGCACATATGCATCCATGGCATCAGGGCCTTCAAAGCAAAATTAAAGGAAACAAAAAGCTCGTAAAAGCTTCCCAGAAATCTTTTAGCTGAACGAAAGCAAAAGAAATTGTAGGCTTCAGCAGAGGAAATACATTTTTTTTCGGCGAATACAGGAGAGGGACAATTTTATCATCCATCGTAGACTCGCAGCTAGACTTAGTATCAACAAAATATATGCAACTCTAGGAAAAAAAGAAAAAAAAGAAACGAAAGGAGTGAAGATAGCCAACGGTGAGTTGGACATGTGAATCACAAGGAGACGGGTCTGCTCTTGACACTGAACTTAATAGACCATTGTGGCAAACAGTAATGCAAACAAAACAGAAGAAAGGAAACCAAATTAAAAGAATATTTTTAGCCCAAAAAACACTATTTACTCGTTCGATTTCCTTCTCAAACCGTCAGTGAAACATTCAACTGCTGACTGCTTTAAACTAATGCAAACAAAGCCAAAGAAACGAGCATAATTAGAAAAAAGTTATTAGCCAAAACATTAAACACTATTTATGGCAAAAAGATTTCCTTGTCAAGCAATTAGTGAAACAGTTAATTGCTGACTGCTGAATTCTTTCAATTACCCGCTGAAATGCGTTCAATTTGTTTGGTTTTACTAGTTAGTAAGTTCAGTGGAGCGAGGGATTTTAGCTGACTTGTTTTTTAGCAGATAAATTTTTTTTAGCAGACTCAGAACAATAACAAAGCGTGATAGCTAACTTGTAACGCGTCATTGATGATTAGCGACCGCTTGCTCCGCTGCGCTTCAATTCAATACCCACGAGTGTTTTTGTGCGGATAAATCTTTGTTTTGCCCCTAATTTAGACTGTTGTATTTTCGAAGTTGCTAGTTTTGTTGACAAATCGTGAGATAATTGACTTAATTGGAAAAGCTTGGCCCCAGACTGAGCGTCTTTTTGAGTCTGTCAATCAATCATTCGTCACTTTATTACGTTGGTCTGTTGAAAGGCTCATTTTGACTTTTAATGCTAAAAAATATGTCTGCTAAACGATCGGTCCCCAAGTTCAGTGTCTAGAGCATATCCGTCTCCTTGTATTTCGCCCAGACAACCAAGGAGCAAAAAAATTTTGGGAAAACTTCAATTTTCGAAGTTCAAAGAAAAAAATATGGCCTTAAAGCTCTTTGAATTGAAAGAAACATTTATGAATGACACCTTGTTTGATAAAAATGACCCATGTGAGAAAACTTGATCAATGGGTAAATTTTTTATTCCGTTGCGAAACTTTAGAAATAACATCCCCTTGAAAAACCAGACGTTGATCGCCTTTTCCATGATAGTTACTTTTGCTGTTTGATCGAGGAATTTGCCTTCCTTTTAACAGTGAAATTATTTGAATTTAAAAGAAAAATGCAAAGTCGAACCGTGTTTCCTAAAAAAAAAACATCACGGACTATGGAAGAGCCTGCAATACGGGCATTGTCTCAAAAAATCTCGATAAACTTCGACTTAAAACCTAGAAATATAGAATCTCGAAAAATTTTCGTGTTATTAAATGTTTTTCTGATCTATGCAAGTTCAATACAAATTTTTCAAACCAACTTCACAGGTAATCAAAAAACACATACGCAACGCAGATATTCACTTTATTTATGATGCATGACAAATATAGCATCACAAGAAGGCCAACAAAAAAAATAAAACAAAGCCATTAAAAGGAAAAATAGTCGAAAATTCTGAAGAAAATACTGAATACGGAGGTGGATTACTCCGCTGCCGACAACAAGTTTTAACAGTTAACCGGAAATTGTCAAAAAAAAATCAGTTAAAAATTGTCGGTTAAAGTCGAATTTTGTCTGGAAAAAAGGAGCATTTTACTTATGTATCTTGCTCATAACACTCCGTTTTGAATTTTAGCGGACCGGTTCTATTAGCACAAACATGGTGACGTATCCTTACGCATTCATGTCATATTCATGTACAGCCAACTGAGATTGAGAAAACTCAGCATATTTCAAATCAGGACAACTCGGCTAAGAGAAGCAAGACATTCAGCCAAGCAAAATTCAGACAAATATCAAAACAGCTGAATGGTCTAGAAAACCTAGATAACCGACAAATAATGATTCACGCGATAATTACCACTTAAGCGGAACTTAAGCGCAGTGGAGCAAGCGGTCGCTACTTGCCAAAGTTACTTTCGGCTAAACTTTCATTGACTGAATAGCCTCGAAAACAGGGTTGAGTTGTCTCGAATTGCCAGTAACCTCACCAATACTTTTTGAGTTTATAGCGATCCGTCGCGTATATACTTTTTGAGTTTATAGCGTTCCATCACATATTCTTTTTGAGTTTAAAGCGTTCCATCACATATACTTTTTGATTTATCGATCGTTCCGATCGAGCTCTGATTTGAAATACTTTACACCAAAATTCGATCAAAATTTTAAATTACGCCAACGAAAAGCTTAATAATCTGAACATACCCAACAGAGAGTTGGGAAAGTGTTTATCAACTCAGGGAAACCGAAAAAAAACTATCAACTATTGTGCAATTTTCCAAATTATGATAAAAAATATCTCTTGTTTAATTTCTCTCAACTTCAAGATTTTTTTTATGATAAACACTTTTTTCATAAAACTTTCCTAATTAGAGAAAACTTGGTGAATACGTAAACGTAAACTGGAAAGTAAATAAGTTAAAATTGAGGTCTAGTTTGAAACTAAAAGCTATTCACAAACTTTCGTCTCATTAATAACTTTATTACTCGGGAGCCTAACTTGCCTTTCTTTCAGCAAATGACTAGGGATTGCATTAATAAGAAATCGAACTCAAACCGCGGAAAATCAAATTGTACCGAACAAAAGCAAAAAAAAACGCGTCCTATATGAAAAAAACCGTGCGCGATAAATCTTGACCGTACACATGCACGATATTCAAGAATTGACAATTTGATGCATTTTCGCTCTCGTTTGTTATTACTAATTGCTAACCCCGTGTTCTGGACTCTGGTGTTCCACAGCGGGCGATTCTGACCCTGGATAAGTTGGAGTCTTGTATCCGGCTGAAACACAATTTCAGTGACTTAGTAACTTTAAACCAGATTAGAAAACAAGCTCGAACCAGCAATACTTTTTTAGATTTAAGTGGCTGGTTACTTTTGCCAGGTTTACAAGGAAACATCGGAACATCTTTGCCGGTTGCTCCACTGATTCCGGAAAACTCAATGATTGGTAATTCTTTGATACACCCCACCATATTTTTAGATTTTAATCTGAACGTCATGGACCGGTTTCAGCATCTAATTTCAGCATCTGGATGATTCGTCCAACATTGATAAAATAAACTAATTTATGAAGAAATAGAGCCTCGGATATAACCAGTAGCGAATTAACGGTAGAGCAATTTTTTTCCAAAAACTCGACTAAAAAGACCCCCCCTCCCCCCCACGCTAGAAAATCTCAGATCTGCGCCAGGACATGACTGCACTCACATAGTAGCTCCTGCTCGTCTACTTCCTCCTGTTGGAACCCATCCATGTCGAAGGACACCATCACAGCCCCCATCTGGATCGACAATCTCTTCTCCTGGGTAGGTTTAGGGGGCATGAAGTCACTCGGCAAATCCTCATCTTCATCATCGGCTGTGAAATAAAAACAACAATCAATAAAATCACTTCATTTAAAAACTTTAACGCTGAGTAGGAAGCCACTATGCCGTACAGTCGGTTTTTTGCCGTCAGATTTTAGATAGCTCAAGACAAGCTCGCATGGTTGTCAAAACAAAAAGGCCAAATTTTTACGCCCCCCTTCGGAAAGCAGAAATGAAATTTTTAAGCATATCCTTTTTTCAAACAACGCATTATTAAACTAGCCCATTTATGGTATGCCGAAACCATTTCAACCGAATACACTTTTTAAGCAACAAAAATGAAGACAAATTCGATTATTACTGATTAAATAATAAATTACATTAAAAAAATTAAAACTACTTTTTATTATAACGAAATTGCTACTCACCAAACAACACCGCGTCGTGGAAACTTAGCCGACAAAAAATAACAAGAAAACCGAAAAAATCTAGTAAAACTGGATCATAAGGTTTTTTTTCATTCCTCAGCGAAATGTAAACATTGAAATCCACTTTCAAAACTAAATGTCATTTGTTACAGGAGAGTAACATTTTTCTTCCTTTAATTAAATAAATTTGAATTGAAATTTCAAACCACGAAAAATTTATTTCCACAATTTGTAGGACTTAACTGAAAAACAAAAAATAATTCTATACAGAATAGAGTCTGCGTATGTGCGTATCTCGGGGAGCGATCGTTTAGCAGACCAATCTTTTAGCATTAAAAGTGAAAAATGAATCTTTTAGCAGACCAACTTAATAAAAAATAATGGATGATTGATTGACAGACTCAAAAGACGCTCAATTATTTCACGATTTGCCAACAAAATTATCAACTTCAAAAACAAAAGCCTAATTTAGCGTCAAAGCAAAAATTTACGCGAAGAATAACACTCGTGTTCAATTGAAAGGCAGCGGAGCAAGTAGTCGCTAATCGCCAATGCAGCGTTAGAAGTTAGCTATCTATTTTTATAATTCTTGTGAGTCAGCTAAAGATTGGTCTGCTAAAAAAAACCGGTCTGCTAAAATCCCTAGCACCGTGTATCTGTGTAAGCGTTACCGAACTCCTCCCAGGATAATAAGCTTCACATGTATGACCATCGGAAAAAAAGGAATACCATTGACTGAAATTTTAAAATTTGGATCATTTTTTGTTGAGAAATTTTTGGAATTTATCAAAAAGGAAAACAATGGCTAAAATAAGCATAAGGAGACGACCGCGTTTCTGTTGTAGTTCATTTCCATTAGAAATTAAGATACAAACATGTGCATCTTTCATGAGTATTTAACTTCATTTTATTTTCAATTATTGAAAATTATTAAGCACACGAATTGAGATAAATTTCGAAATTTTTAGCCTCTTTTTTCCTCGAAAGGCAATTAAATTACCAATTTTTGAGATAAGCGTATTGAAATCTAGTCTGCTACACTATATTATTCTCTTAAGGCCTAATGAACTTGAATAAGAATTTAAATTAAGGTGTTTTATTTAATTTACGAGATTCATAAACAATTAGAAATAATAGTTAGGAAAAAAATCAGGACATACCTTCTGTCAGCGATATGGACGTAGTTTTGCCTCCATCATCTGCAAAAGGACTGAACGTGATTCCCACATCCTCTGAGTTTGAGTCGCCATGTTCCAGAACTCTGACATTTACAGCATTCGCATCTGGAAGGCTGGCGATAACATTACCAGGCAGGGTATTTGCCTCTTTGGCAGTATCAAATTCGGAGCGCTTATGCATTGTTAAGTTCTTGCATACAGGTAAAGAAGGTCGGGTTATTATCGGAAAGAAAGGTTGATAATGATGCAGCCAGCTGAATTGTGACAGTCACGTTTGTCGACTGAATCCTTGTAAGCTAAACGTTTTAATTTATTGAATTAAATTTTGTTAACATGAGGATCTATTTTAAATCTTAAAAGTTGATTACATTGAACTAAAACTAGACTAATTCAGAAGTTGTAGATGTTGAAGATAGTCATCAAATTAATTATTGACTTAACGGTTTGTCCTTCGGATTGCAAGTGATTCAAAATCGAAGCGCTGAAAAATCTGATTTAGCTAGTTTTGCCAAAATGTTGGATCATTCTTCCAAATTTAAATTTTCAGAGCAACCAGAAAATTGAAACACAGAGGTACGGATGAATAGTTGAAACACAAATAAATGAAAACAAGGATAGCCGGTTGCTGTGCAATTAGCACAGAATGTTCCGACCATATTGTTAAGAAATTAAAAACAATTTTAATGGCGTCGTTTTTTTTTAAATGGCGTCGTTTTTTATTTTTAGTGTGATGATAGTATATAAATGAAGCCTACAACTTGGATAGTAAAAGTAAATTAGGTACATTTGACAACAATGTTTCATATCAAGAAATTTAAAAAACAAAAAACTCTGAAAAATTAATTATTACCAGCAAAACTCAACAAAAAAATTTCCATAACCAATTTCAATTGAGTACAATTAGATAATAAATATTGTTCCGACCATTCGGGTGTTTTAGTTTTCCACCCAAAATTAGATACCACAAATAATCATCGGAATGGGCCGAGTTATTTATCATATTAGAGCCTTTTAATTGAGTGAAGTTGAGTGTGTGGGTATCGGTCCAAAAACCTTTCGATTGCCGTACTTGCCTGCTCGCACTAAACTAAGATGCAGCTAGCATAGCTATTCGAGTGATATTTCTTTTGTTTAATGTGCGAATTGTTTCTGCGTGGCAATTTATCCGCACTCAGAATTATTTCAGATTGAATTAGGGCCAAAGAATGCGTCATACTGGTTCGACTCATTTTTTAGCACTTTACATTTGATGTTGGCAATAAAATGTTTTCGGTTGAAACAAAACTATAGTTTATAATTGTTTCAAAGTTAGAGTTGCACTATTGTCAGCACTGAATGTTATTCGTTTTATCAATTTTTGCTAGTAAGTTTTTTTTTTTTTTACACTTTAACAAACAAAATTTACAGGCTAAAAATAACAAGTTCAGAGATATTTTTATCAATTGGTTTTCAGCTGAGAAATTAAAAATAAGCTTTAAAAAGAAAACTAACTTGGAAAATTGTGTTGGACTATTTAAAGTTCTTTAAAAATGTTCAAGAGTCTATACATAGACTGAAGTTTCTGAGAAAGTGTCTGATAATAATCTATCTGCCGTAGAAATAATAATCTATCTGCCGTAAGAGTATGAAAAAAAAACTTATGAAACTTATTAAATAGTCTTTTTCGTATTAAATGTCTGGTGCTACGACGAGGTCAAGACTGGCCTCTAAAAGTCAATAGTGATGCACCATGTGTTCCAAGTCAGTGGGGAAGAAATGGCTGATGTGCGAGGGCTGCGAAATGTGGACGCATAGCTCGTGTATGGGATACTCTCATGATATCTTCAAATTTCTGGCGAGGACCGCAAATGTAAAGTTTCTGTGCAATGGATGCCTAAGTGCTGATATTCGTACAAAATCTACTGTGGAAGTGGGCGAGCTGTCAAAAGGCATTGAGGACATCACAGAGTCACTGGAGATCATAAAATCTCGGCCTACATGCAATCCTTCTCCTACCGAACTGGAAGCTAAGTATTCTAATGTCGTTAAAATTAGTTCCGATATATCTCAAGAATTGCGATTTAGTGGTATGCCGGAAATTAGCATGGGTACTGACAGCAAAATTGATATATCGAATATTTTTGAGCACGATGAAAAAATGATAAGCGATACAATGAAATATCTTGGTGCAAATGCAGAGGAAATTCCTCTTTCCACAGACTCGGAAAATTTAACGCAACTAATAAAAGACCCAGACAAATTTTGATGAAGTTTCGAAATGTTATTACGGCAGATAGATTATTTGCGCGTGCAACCATGTTGAAAAATTACGAACCAAACATCAAGAAAACAAGTATTCAGTTTTTCTATCAAAATCCTTAAATAAAGAGGCCCAAGAAAGGCAACGAAACTGGTTAAAGAAAAGACGCGAACTACTTGAAAGCGGAAAGGATGCAAAAGATATAAAAATCATAAATAACATATTATACCTCAATAACCAAGCAGTAAATTGCACTGAATGACTACCAAACAAAACCGGAGAATTAAGAGCACTATGTTACAATGTAAGAGGTTTATTCAAACTAGGAAGAAGACAGTTTTTTCGAACAGTATAAATTTAAAGAACTTTGATAGTATTTGCCTGTCTGAAACATGGCTTACAAATGAAAACAACTGTTTCCTATCAAACAGAAGATCATTGCTGCAATCAACATCTCACGGTGGAACATTATTTGGCGTAAAGTCGGGCTTAATGCCAGAACCTGCAAGTTTTAATTTTAATACCTATAGAGCGGCAGTAGCATGCTACATTAAGCTAGATAAACGGAAATTGCTGGTTGTCTCTTGTTATCTACCGCCTGCAAATAGCAAATATGCTCCAAAACCAAATGAATTAAATAACCTGTTTGAAGACATTAATAAATTGCGGAAGAACTGTGATTTGTTTTTTTATGGTGATTTCAATTACCCCTCATTAACTTGGTGCAACATGTCATCAATTAAAGAATTCGAAATTTCATTTTTGGAAGAAATAGGGAATCTCGAAGTTCATCAAAAAATTACGTTTAATACTGCCTCAATTGGTACTCTCGATTAGATCTCCACCAGCAATAAAATCCATGTAACAGATGTTCACACCTTAGACAGTAACGATAAATTAGGAAAACTTTCAAACCATTATCTGGTCGAAATCTCCTTCAACGGATCTTATGCGTCGTAAGTTTTTTAAAGAAACCATATTTAGTTATTACAACGGTGATTACGATTTATCCAATGAGCAAATACTAGAAAAACATTCTGACACTTACTGTTGGTCAAATGTAAATGTGATACTAAATCATTGGTATAACTAGTTATCCTCGCTTATTAAAAAGTGTATTCCAAAGCGCACTAAACATAGATTACCCTTGCCGCCATGGATACGTCAATCGACTTCGAATTTTATTGAAAGTTTACATACAGCTCGAAAGAAATATACCGAGTCTCATCCAAAAGTTTTGCACTTAATTGAACAGACAGAAACGAACGCCGAAATGGACAAAGCCGATTAAGAAACAGTCTCTTGTGTCAGACCGATCAACGGGAAAAATTTTAAAATACTTTAAAGTTTTTCATAAATCAAGCTTACCAAGTATACCGAAAAACAAAAATGAGACCGGCGATATCGATCCAATAAAGGCAGAATTATTTTCGAAGTTTTTTGCTTCTGTGTACATTGAATCGTGCACATTTTCAGAACCATCCGAACCTGATTCCAATACAGTCCTTGATACAATTAGTGTCACTGAGCTCGAGATACGTGAAAGATGTCAATCGTTGAACACGAATTAAAGTAAAGGCCCCCACGATTTACCGCCAGTACTGTTCAATAAAACACAAGCATCTCTATCTCATTCTATCTATCAAATGTTTTGTAAAATTATTCAAAGTGGGCGTTTTTTAGACTACTGGAAAGCAGCTATAATCATCCCAATTCATAAAAAGACGATAAAAAAGACATTGAAAATTTTAGACCCGTCTCCCTTCTTTGTATAGTTTCAAAAATATTAGAGCGTATAATATTTAGGAGATTATACGAACATCTATCACCTATGTTTCATAGTTCACAACATGGGTTTCGGAAGAATTAATCCACTGTCTTACAGCTATTAACTTTCTTACAGATAGCCAACAAAAGTCATGACGAAGCAAGTGATATGGAGATTGTTTTCGCGGACTTTAGTAAAGCGTTCGACCGTGTTGACCACGGTATCCTCTTGATGAAGCTTTACAAAAACGGAGTAGGTAGAAATTTGATCAAATTATTGAAATTTTATCTACCAAAAAGGTCCCAATTTGTCAAAGTGAATAGCGAAATCTCAGATCCAAAGCCCGTAACAAGCGGAGTGCCCCAATACAGCATCCTCGGGCCACTCTTTTTCCTAATTTTCATTAATGACTTGCCTTCTCTTTGCCAAAATGCGCACCTATACTTTTCGCAGATGATACAAAATTCATCAGCCTAGGACTAGCTAAAGAAGAATTTCAAAATGAATTTAATGTGATATACAACTGAACAGTTCAAAACATTATGCCATTCGATGTTGATAAATGCACCCACGTGAGCTTTACTAAAAGTTCAAACAAATTTTGCTTCAACAATACGGAAATTAAATTAGTGGACACTCAGAAGGTTCTAGGGATTACAATTTCAAATGACATGAGCTGGAATCTACACATTGTCAAAGAAGGCTTAAAAGCAAAAAAAAAATTCGCGATCAAAAGAAACATATCGAATTTAAACAGAGTAGCGAAATCGAATTTATTCAAATCCATGATAATTCCCGTGATTCTTTACGCCAGTCCGTGTTTTGGTTTAAATACAAACGTAATGTCCGAATTAGAAACGATTCAGCGAAGAGCAGTAAAATGAATTTGCCTTAATAGTGTCCCATACAACGAAAACTTGAAAGTACTAGGGATTCTTACTTTGCCAATTTATCTTCAGCTAAACAACTTGCTGTTGCTTTCAAAATTGATTTTGGTACGTTATGAGGCATGTGATCTAGACATACTATATTACACAGAGTTCTCGCGCGCAAATTTGTTTCAGGTGAGACATCCAAGGCAAGCCAAATGCGAACAGAACTTCATGTACCAAACCTGTCGACTTGCGAATGTGTTAAAAATCAATTTAAGGAAAGGGACTGGCTCAAAACAATGACTTCTAAAAATCTTCTGGTCGAAATTCGAGCAATGCAATGAGAGCGACAAGTGCACTTGGAAATTAGCGTGCGATTGTACGAGGAACAATTGCAGAAATAGAACTGTTATATGAAACGAGAAACTGACGGGGTCCAAACACCTTGTGTGAACCACAGAAATCATATTACTACTACTACTACTACTACTACTACTACTACTACTACTACTACTACTACTAATACTACTAAACGATCTAATACTGGACTTTTAGAAGTTTAGGGTCCCCGAAAACGGTTTATTTTGAACCAAGCTGTGCATAACTTAAAACTACTATGGATTAAAACGTCTAGGGCAAATGAGTACAGGAAAAGGTATGAGGAGATGGTAGTGAAAGCCCGATCGCTTGTGCACAAAGAAATCGACGACCAGTAGTGGGCATCCATTTTCGGTTTCGTAAGGCGTCAAGTTGACGTGAGCTTAAAGACAACATCAGAAAACCAAAGAAAACTGATAGAAACACTGTCCGAGAGACAAAATAAACCTTTTGGGGGCAAAATGAGCGATCAATTATGGTGTTCGATAACCTTGAACTGCCAGGAGGGTACATGAAATGCTGTCAATTGGTCAAAACCATCCAATTAGAAACAAATTTAACGACACGCACTTCTTGGCTGATATCGATATTTTCCTCTCACAATTAAAAAATCAAAAAAAAAACATCGGGCGGAAGTTTATGTGGAAAAAAAACGCGGCAAAAGCATATGCAAAAAAAGAAGGCGTACTCAAAGAGACAAAGCCGTTGAAAAAACGAGGAAAAATATCAAGATAATGGGTTGCTGGCTGTGCTTTTCGATGGAGCGGTTGGTTTTTACATTATGAGGAAACAAACGTATGAATCAAAACTAGTATTTTTGATGCAATCTGCTCGGTTTTCGACAAAAGAGTCAACAACTGATGAGGTGGTACTGAAAATTGAGAAGGGATTTAACGAATAATTACATGCCATGAACAAAAGAGACGAGACAAGCGAACAGTTATATTGCAAAATTAGGCCAACAGGGGGACAACTCGTCAGTTCGTACGGTTTAGCTAAGGTACACAAGGCTGACACACACTACGATCAGTACTATCACTTCCGGGCTGGTCGTATGAGGGTATCAACAAAACACTTGCAAAGTTTTTTGACACATCGATGCAGCCAATATAGAAACAAATACCAAAGATGCCAGAGAAACTATTGAAAACCTTGCTCTAGATCCCGATGAAACCACTATACCTTTTGATGTGAAATGTTTAAACACTAATGTTCAAATTGCCTTACAGTCTCCTCCTGAAAATCAAAGAGCAACTATGCAAAGGCTTTTGAATATGGCAGTGTAATGATTCATAGTATGTGCAAATTGATGGTCTATCAATTGGAGCTTCCCTTGCTGTAATTCTTCCACAGCTATGGCTAAAATAATACGAGTTTGCTCTGAAACAAGAAATACCAGC